TTGTGCATCAGATTTATTGGAGAAGATATAGAAGATGAATTTCATTTTATTTTAAAATGTCCATTTTATGAAGAATTAAGGAGAAAATATTAAAAAAAAGTTTAACCACAGGCGTCCAAGTGTTTTCAAATTAATCAAAATTTTGAGTGTAAATAATGTCAAGGATCTCTGTAATTTGGGAAAATATTTGTTTTATGCTACAAAAAAACAACGCCAAAATCTCTAATACTGCCAACCTTTTTTTCGAGGATCATATTTGTATACACAGTCTAACATGGCATAACATCCTTTTCGTCCCAAAATTCGCGATCGAACCTCGTTTAAACGGCCGTTTTGACCACAAGTCATTTGACAAGCTTTCTTGACTGCGAGTCACGTTCATCATGCATTTTATATTGAGTTTGATTTCATTTACGTCACTGGTATACACAATACAGGCATATTATCACTATTGTGGCAAATCACTTCGAAATATGAGCTGCAAACGAAAAACTTTAATTCTTGAAGAGCGCTACAATGCACTTTCGATGCTTGAGACTGGAAAAAGTGCACGGGCCGTTGCTAAAGACCTCGGAGTTGTATATGTTATGTGTTCAGCTCTCCCGAATATGTGTGTGTGTGTGTGTGTGTGTGTGTGTGTGTGTGTGTGTGTGTGTGTGTGTGTGTGTGTGTGTGTGTGTGTGTGTGTGTGTGTGTGTGTGTGTGTGTGTGTGTGTGTGTGTGTGTGTGTGTGTGTGTGTGTGTGTGTGTGTGTGTGTGTGTGTGTGTGTGTGTGTGTGTGTGTGTGTGTGTGTGTGTGTGTGTGTGGGTGTGTGTGTGTGTGTGTGTGGACGTGTGTGTGTGTAAGGGTGAGTGTGGATGTGGTCGTGCGTTTGAGAGTATGCTACATGTATATATTATATATGTACTTTTTTGTGCCTATGAGTCGTAAGGCTAGCGGCTAATAAAGAATCTGAATCTGAATTTATATAACTTTCCCGCTTTTATCACTGCACATTGAAATTCACGGGTCACTGCTCATTATCAGAATAAATTTGTGTACGTGCTTTCGTTAATTTTACTGAATTTTATAGACTAATAACGATACAAGATGCTTTCTATGCCCCGATATTTTACAAAACAACAGGTAAACGGTATTTATGTGACAAATATACGGGAAGTTTTCATATTCTTTGTACCAAATCGCATTGTTGTGAAAATAATAAACTGTTCATAAATCAGTTAAATTATAATCATCCGGCAACATCAGTGAATAAATTATCCTGAGCGTGTATCTAACTAGTATGATATGCAGTCTTTAAATATGACATTATAATATAACAAAATGCATTGAACTTGTAAATACATGGTTGATTCTCTCTTCCAGCTTGTGCTGGATTTTTGCTGTACATTGTCCTGTAATTTGTTATTGCATCGATGAGATGTATTGTCAAGTTCAATAAAAAATTTGGAGAATATAGTAGATTGTTTGGCTGTTGGGTTCATCACTCCTTGAACAGCCATGGCCATTTTGAAGGCTACCTTACTGAGTAACATACGGGAGGACCGTAGCATTTCATCCACAGCAATTAGAGGTAAAGTGACTTGCCCAAGGACACAGCCAGACCGAACCGTGTTCAGATTCCTGTGAAAAAGACCCCCGCACCATCGGAGGTAAGTAAGCAGACACTCTAGCTATCATGTTACATACAGTCACGTGTCATTGGGCATAGGATAGAAAAGTCATGTGTTCCTGGGTATATGGTAGTACGGGCACGTGTCCCTTGGTTATGGTAGAACAGGCACTTGCCCCTAGGTATGAATATTGTGGAAAAGGTACATGTCCTACAATAGAGAAGGCACTAGTTCCCGGGTACTCTAGATAATAATTAAGGTCTATTTGTTTGTAAGAATCATATTTATATCTAGTGTTTATCATCCATAACTGAATTGTCTCCCTTTCACAAAGAGATGTCTTTTATGTACAAAAAATATATATATATAACTTATTCTGTGCGTTATGACTGTTAATATTCTTAATTTAAAGGATGAAAAATTCAATGATCAACCAGTAATTAGATGTAAACATAATGTCTATTGGTCCTTCATAGCGTTTTTCAAACAATGGAACATCATCATATAGACAACTTGGTCTATGTATATTAATTTTTTACTTAATCGGTTACTTTCTAATGTGTGTTTTAATAATAGTTCTTGTTTTACCTATGTAATCAAACCACTGACTTAGATATAGCCTTGAAGTCCGTGTAGGTTGTAATGTTGGCGTTTAAAAGAGGAGCAATATTTTTACAATATCAAGTCCACACTTGAATCTTTCTAAAACAGAGTCTACTATTCTTTAATTTGTCAATGTTTGTGTCTCCCTTTCGATAATATGTGAGGACAAGTTATCCTTATATGGTATATTATCTTCGGTATACTTACATCTTAATCCACTTGTCAAAATGTTATCCGAATGATTCTAATGTTCTTTAGACTACTTTATTGGCCTGTAATCGATGACTGATGTTCTATATTTCGATCTGGAGTCGATGACCAACGTTCTACCTGTCGGTCTGTAGTGGAATCGACCAATGTTCTATCGGTCAGTCTGGAGTCGATGACTGACGTTCTATCGGTCAGTCTGGAGTCGATGACTGACGTTCTCAGTCTGGAGTCGATGACTGACGTCCTATCGTTCAGTCTGGAGTCGATGACTGACTTTCTATCGGTCGATCTGGATTCGATGACTGAAGTTCTCAGTCTGGAGTCGATGACCGACGTTCTTTCGGTCGATCTGGATTCGATGACTTAAGTTCTATCGGTCAGTCTGGAGTCGATGACTGAAGTTCTATCGGTCAGTCTGGAGTCGATGACTGACGTTCTATCGGTTAGTCTGGAGTCGATGACTGACGTTCTATCGGTCAGTCTAGAGTCGATGACTGACGTTCTATCGGTCAGTCTGGAGTCGATGACTGACGTTCTGTCGGTCGATCTGGAGTCGATGACTGACGTTCTATCTGTCACTCTGGAGTCGATAACTGACGTTCTCAGTCTGGAGTCGATGACTGACGTTCTATCGGTCAATCTGGAGTCGATGACTGACGTTCTATCGGTCACTCTGGAGTCGATGACTGACGTTCTATCGGTCAGTCTGGAGTCGATGACTGACGTTCTATCGTTCAGTCTGGAGTCGATGACCAACGTTTTTTGTCGGTCTGGAGTCGATGACTGACGTTCTTAGTCTGGAGTCGATGACTGACGTTCTGTCAGTCTGGAGTGGATGACTGACGTTCTGTCAATCTGGAGTCGATGACTGACGCTCTATCGTTCAGTCTGGAGTCGATGACTGACGTTTTTTAGTCGGTCTGGAGTCGATGACTGACGTTCTATCGGTCAGTCTGGAGTCGATGACTGACGTTCTATCGGTCAGTCTGGAGTCGATGACCAACGTTTTTTAGTCGGTCTGGAGTCGATGACTGACGTTCTATCGGTCAGTCTGGAGTCGATGACTGACGTTCTTTCGGTCGGTCTGGAGTCGATGACTGACGTTCTCAGTCTGGATTCGATGACTGACGTTCTATTGGTCGGTCTGGAGTCGATGACTGACGTTCTATCGTTCAGTCTTGAGTCGATGACTGACGTTCTATCGGTCAGTCTGGAGTCGATGACTGACGTTCTATCGTTCAGTCTGGAGTCGATGACCGACGTTCTATCGGTCGATCTGGAGTCGATGACAGACGTTCTATCGGTCAGTCTGGAGTCGATAACTGACGTTCTATCGGTCAGTCTGAAGTCAATGACCGACGTTCTATCGGTCGATCTAGAGTGCTTCGAAGGCTGATGCAAGTTCCATCGGCCTTTTTAAATCAATCTGGAGTCCGTGAGTGACGTTTTATCGACATGTTCTTTTTATGGCAGTCTGGATGTCTGAAATTGATGAACGTCCATTAACTCAAAACCGATATGGTTATAGAAAACGTAAGAAAAATACGGACAATCCGAACCCGACATTATTCACAAATGTATTCTTAAGGACTCAGAATATAAAGTCCGTTGTATTTACACTAAGGGGAAAAAACGAAACTGCAGTTGTTGTTTTTTCGCGAAATCTGAGTATGCCTAGCTGATCTTTGTAAAAGTTGTGCGATTTATCATTATTGTCTTTATGTGCCAATATTAATATTGTATGTAGGTGTCCCATGTGTAAATAGTTTCTGTTATACATCAGCTCTATAATAATGCTTGCCGACACACATGTATATGTCTTAAACAGGACATACTATATCACGTCTTTTGTAATATTATTTAACAAACACGATCGACCTAGGCCTATATATATATGTAATCTATATATAATATATATAGAATCCCCAGTAACTCTAACTCGGGTGTGGGATTAATATTGAAGTAATTAGTCATCCGCCTTCACACTAGTTTTAGGAATTCTTCATGAACACACAATGAGTAACATGAAAATGTATATTTGACCTAAGTGACAACAAACTAGTCAAAACTTGATCCATTTTAATGACAAATCCAAAAATAGATTCACCCAATTTCGGTGAATACTCATACGACAATGTAGACAGTTAGGGCTGTCAGACTGCAATTTGTCATGTCAAATCATTCACTCGAGTGCATCGAAGCGATGAAAATAATACCCATGTATGGTTACTATGTGTATGTTGGAGGCGTGGCTACTAAGCAAATTATCAATGGGTCTATTTTTGCCACAACCATCCCAACCTTCTGACGTCACCAGTAAACAGAAGCGTAGTGATATGGGTAAATATTACATCTTTTAAACACAAAATTTGAGTGAATCCTTCCAAACACTATTACAAGAACTCCTTTTATTCCAGGCTGTGCGTAACTAAAAGCGCTTCTACTCTTAACGGCCGGGTCTCAATGTGCTAATTTTTCAGCGCATGTAGTAAAAGTAGTGAGAAGGTTTTTTGTGAATGAGCGTGATCACGTGATAGTCCGGAAGTATTTCATTGATTAGACAGGGTAAATGCATGCGATACTCGAGGGAAACTGTCACGATATACGCCATTTAAAGGGTTATTTTCAAGATGGAAGTGAACCTTGCTAGTGGTGTTACATGTACCGAGGTCTCAGAATGGTTAGAAGACAGGGGAAGCTGTCGGGAATGTGTTCTGATGTTAGACTGTCGTCCGTTCATGGCGTTCAACGATGGGCACATAAGACACTCATTAAATGTGCACTGTCCCCCAATTCTTAAGAGGAGGTCGGGAGGCTTTGTGGCTTTGGAGAATATTGTACCATGTTCAGAAAAAAGAGAAATGTTGAAAGCCGGACAGTTTAGCACGATAGTTGTTTATGACAACGACACAACAGATCTGACACTGTCTTCCAAAGACTCGAATTTATATTCCGTCCTCAAAAGTCTTCGACAACAAGTGGAGAATTGTCGAGCAGTCTACATTCAAGGTATACATAAATGATTAAATAGATAAATCTAGTCTGATCTAGCGTACGTAAAGAAATTAACTACATTCTGATGTTTCTTTTAAGATTTGAACGTGACCCCGTTCGGCCATTTTATTGCACTTGTGCCGGAAATAAAATGCTCCGATACATTAGTGACGGATTATAATATTGGAATGTGTGAATGAACAAAGACCGTAGACACTAAAGGAAAACAAGATACTGTACACTAAAGGAAAGTTAATTGTCACATGATGTAAAATTATGATATCTATATATAGAAGCATCACTTACATTATACAATCTCAGTTATACAGAATAATTTGTACAATAACTATATGCAATACAAATTAACTGGAGTGTACACTTGTAATACCAGCGAAGTCAAGCAGAAATCATATCTATAGATAACATTACCATGTCAACTCTCATTATTTCAACCAAACTTAATCCTATGCTTGAACATCTAAAAAGAAAGAATTCTCTTTCTTTATCCCAAAATCATCCAATCCTCTTTGTATTTTAACACATTATCAAACTCTGTATATGAACATCATATAATCTCTCTGTATCCCTACATCATGTAATCCTCTCTCTGTCACCCTACATCATGTAATCCTCTCTCTGTATCCCTACATCACCCAAACATCTCTGTATCCTCTACATCATCCAAACCTCTCTCTGTATCCCTACATCATCCAATCCTCTCTCTGTCACCCTACATCATCCAAACCTCTCTCTGTAACCCTACATCACCCAAACATCTCTGTATCCTCTACATCATCCAAACCTCTCTCTGTAACCCTACACCATCCAAACCTCTCTCTGTATCCCTACACCATCCAAACCTCTCTCTGTAACCCTACACCATCCAAACCTCTCTCTGTATCCCTACATCATCCAAACCTCTCTCTGTATCCCTACATCACCCAAACCTCTCTCTGTATCCCTACATCATCCAAACCTCTCTCTGTATCCCTACATCATCCAAACCTCTCTCTGTATCCCTACATCATGTAATCCTCTCTCTGTATCCCTACATCATCCAAACCTCTCTCTGTATTCCTACATCATCCAAACCTCTCTCTGTATCCCTACATCACCCAAACCTCTCTCTGTATCCCTACATCATCCAAACCTCTCTCTGTATCCCTACATCATCCAAACCTCTCTCTGTATCCCTACATCACCCAAACCTCTCTCTCACCCTACACCATGTAATCCTCTCTCTGTATCCCTACATCATCCAAACCTCTCTCTGTATCCCTACATCATCCAAACCTCTCTCTCTCACCCTACACCATGTAATCCTCTCTCTGTATCCCTACATCATCCAAACCTCTCTTTGTATTCCTACATCATCCAAACCTCTCTCTGTATTCCTACATCACCCAAACCTCTCTCTGTATCCCTACATCACCCAAACCTCTCTCTGTATCCCTACATCATCCAAACCTCTCTCTGTATCCCTACATCATCCAAACCTCTCTCTGTATCCCTACATCACCCAAACCTCTCTCTCACCCTACACCATGTAATCCTCTCTCTGTATCCCTACATCATCCAAACCTCTCTCTGTATCCCTACATCATCCAAACCTCTCTCTCTCACCCTACACCATGTAATCCTCTCTCTGTATCCCTACATCATCCAAACCTCTCTTTGTATTCCTACATCATCCAAACCTCTCTCTGTATCCCTACATCACCCAAACCTCTCTCTGTATCCCTACATCATCCAAACCTCTCTCTGTATCCCTACATCATCCAAACCTCTCTCTCTCACCCTACATCATCCAAACCTCTCTCTCTCACCCTACATCATCCAAACCTCTCTCTGTCACCCTACATCATCCAAACCTCTCTCTGTATCCCTACATCATCCAAACCTCTCTCTTTATCCCTACATCATCCAAACCTCTCTCTGTAACCCTACACCATCCAAACCTCTCTCTGTAACCCTACACCATCCAAACCTCTCTCTGTATCCCTACATCATCCAAACCTCTCTCTGTATTCCTACATCATCCAAACCTCTCTCTGTATCCCTACATCATGTAATCCTCTCTCTGTAACCTCTCTCTCTGTATCTCTACATCATCCAAACCTCTCTCTGTATCCCTACATCATGTAATCCTCTCTCTGTAACCCTACATCACCCAAACATCTCTGTATCTCTACATCATCCAAACCTCTCTCTGTATCCCTACATCATGTAATCCTCTCTCTGTAACCCTACATCACCCAAACATCTCTGTATCCCTACATCATCCAAACCTCTCTCTCTCACCCTACATCATCCAAACCTCTCTCTCTCACCCTACATCCAAACCTCTCTCTGTCACCCTACATCATCCAAACCTCTCTCTGTCACCCTACATCATCCAAACCTCTCTCTTTATCCCTACATCATCCAAACCTCTCTCTGTAACCCTACACCATCCAAACCTCTCTCTGTAACCCTACACCATCCAAACCTCTCTCTGTATTCCTACATCATCCAAACCTCTCTCTGTATCCCTACATCATGTAATCCTCTCTCTGTAACCCTACATCACCCAAACATCTCTGTATCTCTACATCATCCAAACCTCTCTCTGTATCCCTACATCATCCAAACCTCTCTCTGTAACCCTACATCACCCAAACATCTCTGTATCTCTACATCATCCAAACCTCTCTCTGTATCCCTACATCATCCAAACCTCTCTCTGTCACCCTACATCATCCAAACCTCTCTCTGTCACCCTACATCATGTAATCCTCTCTCTGTAACCCTACATCACCCAAACATCTCTGTATCTCTACATCATCCAAACCTCTCTCTGTATCCCTACACCATCCAAACCTCTCTCTGTATCCCTACATCATCCAAACCTCTCTCTGTATCCTACATCATCCAAACCTCTCTCTGTATCCCTACATCATCCAAACCTCTCTCTGTATCCCTACATCATGTAATCCTCTCTCTGTATCCTTACAACACCCAAACCTCTCTCTTTCACCCTACATCATCCAATCCTCTCTCTGTAGTTTAACACATTATCAAACTCTGTATCTGAACATCATATAATCCTCTCTCTGTATCCTACATCATCCAAACCTCTCTGTATCCCTATATCACCCAATGCTCATTTTATTGTCGTTTTCTTTAAAACTTTTATGACTACTACATAGCCTTCCATATACTAGATAAAAATTTACCATACACAAATTTCCATTTACACCGAAGAAACCTTTGTATCAATAAAACCAATTGGCAAGTAATTATGATTTTACTGAATAGCAATTACACATACATATATAAATGTATAGTCTATCTGGATGGGCATTTCATTACCATGCATGGGATTAATATGGGGTTTGTTCTTGAAAGAAAAACAAGAGTATATAAACCAGGTGAAAACCATGTGGTTAGACCCTCATTCCTTTCAACCTTTGTATAGGGAATGGAAGCAATGTAGCCTATACCTGAAATGCGAGTGCATTACCATTGTGCTACTCAACCATCGGAAAACTCCACAAGTTACATATAGGACATTCCCTCAAGTTACAGATAGGACAACCCCACAGGTTACAGATAGGACAATCCCTCAAGTTACAGATAGGACAAACCCTCAAGTTACAGATAGGACAACCCCTCAAGTTACAGATAGGACAACCTTACAGGTTACAGATAGGACAACCCCACAGGTTACAAATAGGACAATCCCTCAAGTTACAGATGGGACAACCCCATATGTTACAGATAGGATAACCCCACATATTACAGATAGGACAATCAAGTTACAAATAGGACAACACAACAGGTTGCAGATAGGACAACCCCTCAGGTTACAGATAGGACAACCCAACAGGTTACAAATAGGACAACCCCTAAGGTTACAGATAGGACAACCCCACATTTTACAGATAGGACAATCCCTCAAGTTACAGCTAGGACAACCCAACAGGATACAGATAGGACAACCCCACATGTTACAGATAGGACAACCCCACAGGTTACAAATACTACAACCCCACATGTTACAGATAGGACAACCCCTCAGGTTACAGATAGGACAACCCCACAGGTTACAAATAGGACAACCTCACAGGTTACAGATAGGACAATCCCTCAAGTTACAGATAGGACAACCCCACATGTTACAGATAGGACAATCCCACATATTACAGATAGGACAACCCAACAGGTTACAGATAGGACAACCCCACATGTTACAGATAGGACAATCCCTCAGGTTACAGATAGGACAACCCCACAGGTTACAGATAGGACAACCCAACAGGTTACAGATATAACAACCCCCCCCCCCCCCCCCAGATAGGACAACACCTCATCTTACAGATAGGAAAGCCCCACAGGTTACAGATAGGTCAACCAACAGGTTACAGATAGGACAACCCCTCAGGTTACAGATAGGACAACCCCACAGGTTACAGATAGGACAACCCCTCAGATTACAGATAGGACAACCCCACAGTTAAGGATAGGACAACACCACAGGTTACAGATAGGACAACTCCACATGTTACAGATAGGACAACACCACATGTTACAGATATGACACCCCCACATATTACAGATAGGACAATCCAACATGTTACAGATAGGACAATCCCTCAAGTTACAGATAGGACAACCCCACAGGTTACATATAGGACAACCCCACAGGTTACAGATAGGACAACCCCTCAGGTTACGGATTGCTGTAAACTCCGGATCCAGTGTCTTTGTACTATGTATCATGTTATAGACTTCCCTGTAGAGCTGTGGTTGTCCTCCAATTTGAGACAAGTTTGAGTAGAAATCAGAAACTCTGGATATACATAATTTTCATCAGAGGTTCCCTGTACCAATATTGTGCACTGGAAATGGTTATGTCTGTGTGTTCATAATAAAACATGTACATTTCATTCACCAAAACAAGAAAGGGAGCCAATTGCAAGATGGCATTCTGCCAGCTTAAGTTCAAAGGAGATCTGCTATTAGAAACAACTTTGTTATAGGGAGGGTGGAAATGCACTCAGATGTCTTTGCAATATGTGTCCTCCGTCTGTTTTTGATTAATTATATACTTCACATAGGAATTAATTGAAAGGGAAGGGTGTTCTGGTACTTACTGTATTTAACTGGAAATAAGCCCATGCCTGGTAAGTAATACCCCCATCTGTATCTATTGTCATTTGTAGGAAAATACTGCCTTACAAGTGTTTTCATAACCCTGTAATAATTAAGCTACCCTATTCACTGACCTTTAGTGTAATTTTGATATATTATTGACCTGTTGTCAGGTAAATGTTAGCATTCATTACCCTACTTGGGTAAGTAAATCCTCATATTCACATGAAAACAGGTAGTTTTATCATATGACAACAATGTGATCTTCTGATTGGTCAGAAATTGTAACAAAGGTTTTTTGATCATTATATTCACCTGTGATATGTCTGATAGGGTCCTGAACTGTGACATTCACCTCAAGTGTATGGATTCTGCTGATTTCAGTGTAACATTACAATATATTTAGACCAATGCAAAGTGTTTTGACTAATCAGTAAGAAGAAATATTACAGTCATATGTAAAATGATCAGGACTTCTTCAAATATATGTAGTTACGGTAGTAAGGTGGAAAAAACTGATCCGGACTATATTTGATAACATACAAATCTCTACACTATAATAAAACCAAAAGGAATCTCAACAACACGAAGACTTTTTGTAAAGCTGTCTACATGTTTCGGCCGCTATGCGACCGTCATCGTCCTCTTCGTGTTGTTGAGATTCCTTTTTATTTTGATTATGTTTTATTAGTAAGGAACTCTATTGAATCCTAAGGATCCAACCGAAGACACTACCGCAAATTCTTACATTAGGAGTGTTGGATCGCCCATTATTTATTAAATCTCTACACTGTATATTTTCATTGTCATTTGAAATATACATAAAAATAAAACATGCCTTCATATAATTTCATTTAAGAAAACTTCCAAATTGTAGTAATATTTATGTGTATTAAACTTTGTAAAATCTCTCTTGTCAAAAGTTTTTATAAAAATTTATTAGAAATATATAAATATTGCAAGTTCAAAACTGTTAATGAAATATTGATATCAATTTGTATTGAAATGGTGTAAAAATTATGGGAAACATTGGTAGCTAAAATAAACTTGTATCTGGGAACATGTATAATAATTCTCAACTGGGTTGTAATCTAAGTAGAATATATACATCATTAATTTCAGTTTGCAATTCTCAAATAGGAGTGGTTAAACCACAGTCATTAACCACAGTGTATTTACTACATATGTATATAAAATATCTATTTACTATGTATCATAAAACAAATACCCTCATGTATGTATATGGAAACCGGGATGGTCACTTCCTACAGTGTACATACATGTACTTGTACATGATAGCTGCAAGTTGATAGTCAGAGATCCTGAAATAGTGAATAAATTAAAGATGAATAATTTTAAGATATGGAATGGGATTTTACTGATTTTCAATTAAAGGGAGACAACTTGTTGGTGAATATTGGCACCAATTTTAGACATATTAAAAATAACAATAAATCTTCTATAAAGTGATCATAATCTCATTTGAGTTTTGATTTTATCACTTATTGGTTTTTAGTTTGTGAATAGGCTTAAGGTTTTTCATTTTTTTAAACCTGTCAATGTTTTTCCAGTTACTTCAACAACAGCCACTTGAGGGCAGCCTCTTAATGTATACGAGGAGAGTGCATGTATTTTTGGTAAAGGGCTCTCGATCTGCCAGACTTGGGACCGATATTCGCCCCCATTCCCAATGCAAAAAAGTATCTTTTTTTCCCAATTTACGAAAACACCATTATTTTTCCCAATTCTAAGGGCCCCAGGCCCCAGTCTCAAAATGGGGTGTGAGAGCCCTGTAGTATGCTGAGATACCTGGTGTCTGTGATATAGTGAGTGCAGAACTAAAACCAACATTATAATGTTACCATAGTGAAGAATACTGCCAAAGGCAATCAGCTGGACACCCCACCTGGTCACATTATACTGACAATGTGTGAAACAGCCATTAAGAGATATTCCAGACCTGTAAATGCTTACACGTAATTCTGAGCCGTAAAATTTTGAACTCATGCTAAATGCTGTCCCTCGTCCCCCCCGTGGAATTTCCATAAAGTTGGGAAGGATGGACACAAATTGGGCAGAAACTGTTGGAATTTATTTATATACAAATTTTATTATAAATTGTGTATTACATGTTACAGGTGGATTTGTTGAGTTCAGTTCCAGTTATCCTCACCTTTGTGACATCCAGGGAGCCATTTGTCGACAGACGCTTTGTGTTAACCCTTGTGCACCTTCATCAAAGATGGCACTTGTACAGGTACTTATAATAGTGTAGTACATGTTCTACCGATTTTTGGGAGGGATGTGCATTAATTCAGAGTTCCAATATTAAACTCCTGTGGTTGACATATTTTGATACTTGAATCAACATTTTTCATACAACAACTAAAGATGGTGTTTTGCTCCATATAAAAGGCCTTCGCTTTCATCAGCCAAAGGGATTATTCTGTTTTATTTTTTTTGATTTTTTTTTTCATTTTCTGGACAAAATTGAAATTATTATTCTATTATGTATAACACGTGGATTGCTTTTCTCTTTGGTTGTCAGGGGGAACCTGTGGAGATTCTACCATATCTCTATCTCGGCAACTCCCAGCATGCATCACAACTTGAACTATTGGAGAGGCTTGGAATTACTTCTCTCATCAATGTGTCAACATCCTGTAGGAACCATTTTGAGGAGAAGTTTACTTATATGAACATTCCAATTGATGACAATGATACTGCAGACCTTGCAGCATGGTTTACAAGAAGCATTACTTTTATAGGTAAGTACTGTGTGCGAGAGTGGATTGTACTTATCCACCAATAATCCCATGCCTGGAAATAAGTCCACCTATATATATATATCTTCATTCAGATTTACACAAGTGTCATTAAATAATATGTCATTTTCATGTATTAATCTCACTAAAATACACTAGTTAGGATACCATGTGTTGGTCACCTAGGCTTATTGGAGGATTAAAACAAAATATTAGTTTCACAAAATCAAACATTACTGCATTTGAAATATTTTGAGCAAAACTTTTTAATAGTCAAACATCAGAATTTTTTTTTGTTTCAGTTTCATCACAAAGTGGTACATGTACTGTTAGAATTATGCTTATTTCAGTCATATGATAAGAGACTTATATTTTCCTTAAGTAGTTTTTTTTTAAATTATTAAAAAATTACAAAAAAAAAGATAATGATTATTTCAGCCATATTCTTTCGTGTTACAGATACAATTAAGGAGCAGTCAGGAAAAGTGCTGGTACACTGTCATGCCGGCATAAGTCGCTCCGCAACCATTTGTCTCGCCTACCTCATGTTCACCGCCAAAATTGGACTCGAAGTAGCGTTTGAACACGTACAGTCTCGCCGCAGTGTGATTTCGCCAAATCTAAACTTCATGCGACAGTTAAAGACCTATGAAGGTGAATTAGGTGTGATATGTTTATCCAGTGATTCTTCCGTGACTCCATCATCCTCAGGAGCAACGTCTGCTTCCTCTGCATCCTCAATAGGCAGCTCAGATTCAGTGTGTCATGAAGACGGAATTCACTCTGGGTCTCATCCAGGGTTTAACTTTGCTCAGTGTCCAGACAGAGAATTCTCCAATCAACCAAATTGTATGGTCACCCCCAATTCATTTGACTTTTCCTTCCCATGTCCGCCAAGTGCTCCACTTCTCTCTCCTAGTTAAGTTCTTGTGATTTTAGAAACAGGAACTGATAGTTGTTATTGCAGAGGATGTCTTGCTCATCTATTATGACAAGCTGATGTCTGGATCATCGATTGTAACTAGATGCTGTCGGGATCATCTATTGTAACTAGTTGATGTCGGGATCATCTATTGTAACTAGCTGATGTCGGGATCCTCTATTGTAACTTGCTGATGTCTGGATCCTCTATTGTAACTTGCTGATGTCAGGATCATCTGTTGAAACTAGTTGATGTCGGGATCATCTGTTGTGACTAGCTGATGTCTGGATCATCTGTTGTAACTAGCTGATGTCTGGATCATCTGTTGTGACTAGCTGATGTCAGGAGCATCTATTGTAACTAGCTGATGTCTGGATCATCTATAGTAACTAGTTGATGTCGGGATCATCTATTGTGACTAGTTGATGTTGGGATCATCTATTGTAACTAGCTGATGTCAGGATCATCTGTTGTAACTAGCTGATGTCTGGATCCTCTATTGTAACTAGCTGATGTCTGGATCAACTATTGTAACTAGCTGATGTCTGGATCATCTGTTGTAACTAGCTGATGTCTGGATCATCTATTGTAACTAGCTGATATCTGGATCATCTGTTGTGACTAGCTGATGTCAGGAGCATCTATTGTAACTAGCTGATGTCTGGATCCTCTATTGTAACTAGCTGATGTCTGGATCATCTGTTGTAACTAGCTGATGTCTTGTTCATCTATTGTGACTAATTGATGTCTGGATCATCTGTTGTGACTAGCTGATGTCTGGATCATCTATTGCAACTAGCTGATGTCTGGATCAACTATTGTAACTAGCTGAAGTCTGGATCATCTGTTGTAACTAGTTGATGTCTGGATCATGTATTGTAACTAGCTGATGTCAGGATCATCTGTTGTAACTAACTGATGTCTGGATCATGTATTGTAACTAGCTGATGTCGGGATTGTCTTTTGTGGCCAGATGATGAGAATTATTTGCCCCTTCCATACCAACTATTTACTCAGAGCATCTCTAAATCTACTATGATGAGTACTTTAAGATATACAACTAAAGGCTTGGTGAGATGTTGTGATTTGTTACAGGGAGCAGCTAGCTGAGGAGATCTTCAAATCTACTACCAGTAGTAGGTAGCTGAGGAGATCTTTTTGATCTACTACAAGTAGTAGGTAGCTGAGGAGATCTTTTTGATCTACTACAAGTAGTAGGTAGCTGAGGAGATCTTTTTGATCTACGATAAGTAGCAGCTAGCTGAGGAGATTTAGATCTACTACAATTAGTAGCTAATTGGAGAGATCTTGTGATTTACTATAGCTATAGCTAATAGCTAGCTGAGGACAAGTACATCTTGAAATATATTACAATATTTAGTAGCTAGCTGAGGACATCTTTAGATCTACTTAAGCTATGGACTTTTTCTGTCAGTCTGGAATCAATGTTCATTGACTCCAAACCAATATAAAATAAGTCAGACCAACTGAAGACATCTTGAGAAATTTTTGAACAAGTAGCTTGCTGAGGAGATCTCGAGAATTATTACAATTATTGGCTAGCAGAGGAAATTTTGTGATTTCTTACAAATCCAGTGATCCTTTTCTATTAATCTCTGATGGGATCTATTCAACAAACTATTGATGATTGTGACATCAACATGAAATGTTTGCTAGCTATATAGATAGTGATGATCGCCTTCCATCATTAGAACTGTCACACAATCTCCTCACAAACAGGTTAAATCAGCCCAATATTTGAATAGTTGAATCTTGTTTTTGTTTTTAATATTTTTTGTGATAATTGCTTTATAAGTTTATTTTTTTTATATTTATGATTCAATATGTGCTACAGTATATTAATAATGTTAATGAACCCATTTGATAAAAGTCACCTTGTCTGTACACTACAGTCTTCAGACATTTAAAAAAAACCCACATAATTAACACCTTTATTATGGTAAATAAAATAATGACTGTATGAAGGTGTGGTTTTTATAAGATTATCTAGAGTAAATAATTATGTGGTCAAATAATGGTAAGTTTGAATTTTGTTCACATTGTAAATTGAAAATATCACAGATTTTTTGACGTTTTTGTTGATTCTTTTATTCATATCTACATAAGCACTCCATCTTTATTTTTTGCATTGTGCCATCATTTTATCTTTTTTCTTCAATTAATGTGAACTCATTCATTTTCATGGGAGATTTATTTTCATTCTTTCCATGGCTACTCTTCATGAATCAGAGGAGAGGATTTATTGGACTGTATTTATCCAAAAAAGGCGAGACTTCAAGTAACAAAATTTTCTTTCCAAAATAAAAAAAAAAGAAAAAAGAAACAAACCCGACAAAAGTTGTGCCCAATGAAAATGATTTCACAATAACAAACTCTAAAATCCTTTCATTTAGATGTTTTTTCATCAATTTCAAATTTTTACTAAATGTTTAATGTTTGCCTTTATTTTGATTGGTTAATATAGTGGAATATATCTGTATTGTGTCAAAAGGCCAAACATTTATTTGGTAAAATTATCATATATGTGGTTGATCTTGAAGCTCAAATGTCTCAAATATTACAAAGTTATATACAGATAAGTTACAACTTTGATAAGTTTGTGTGTAATTTTCATTTTTCATCAACCTGAGTTTTAATTAAAGCACCCTAAAAAGATGAGTGTTACATATAGTAAAGTTTCTCCGGAGGTTTGAATAGAAATCATTAATTTGCTTGATATATTATTGTTTATTGTATTAACAATTTTACTTGTTTACATATTATTTTTTGGCTCGTTGAGCCACATACATGTAGAATATACTTTTGCTAACTGTTACTTGTTGACCAAGAGTACTTTATGCCAAAGAAATATTTTTGATTTTTGTGTAATATATGTTATTGAAATATTGAGTCATCACATCATTAACAATACATATATATATTGAAGTTTACGTGTGATACATGTGAAGTTGGTGTTGGTATGAAAGTAAAATTCACATTTTGTTATAGTGAAGTTGAAAGTGAGAAATGGGAGGTTATTTTCTCACATTTGAAGTGATGAATATGTTATGTGAGCTAGCTATAATGTATATTATGTCCTAAACACTCAACGTAGATCTGTTGTACAGATTTTGAGGTTACATGTTTACATGGAAGTTCATATTTGTACAATATATTCAGTTGTTTAACTAGAAATTTCTTCATACATTTTTTGTTTGTATATGTATAAGGTGAAAACTATATATACACAGAATTTGATTTTTAAGATCAAAACAGTAAAGATACAACAACTTAAATAGAAGTTTCCCTTGTGTATATTTATAGATGATAATGAAGAATGTATTTATTTTTTTCTAGGATGGGACAGAGTTGTCTCCCTTTGACTTCTCTGTTATTTCGCACCCACATTACCAAATCAGGTATTTCTGATTTTTTTTTTTTTTGTTATTGTGATATTCACCTGTGAGCAAAGAGATCAGGTTCAGACAATATGTTGATAAAGTTTCTTGTGAACAAGCTATGATTAGTAATTATCCTCCACTAGCAACCTCTCTGTTGGTTGGCAACAAGTTTTTCGTTACCAGGTATAGTTTCACCAATGGATGTCGGTGTTCTGGCGAAGTGTCACCCCCAACCTAGAAATTCCAGACTTTGTTTATGAATAAATTGCTGTGTTATATAAACACTTTATCATATGGTGCTTAATTGAAGTATTAAACAGATAACAGTGTCATCACTTTACAGATTTATGAAAAAAAAGTTAAATATTGGTGTAGTAGTATGGACATGTAGGGACTCTGCTGTTGATACACCAGTTATAAAATGAAGTCCTCCTTCCATGAGGTATAGAATCTGCTGTAACCCTTAATTACTGTAACTAATCTACAGGCTGTTCAGAGAACAATCACAGTATTTTCAAGAACATGTACTGTAATATGTAGATTCAGAGTCAGCTTGCCCTTGGTAATTTTTCCTCCTCACATCAAAATTTTTTTTTTTTTCACCTGAAATAAATTTGGACTAAGAGGACAGTAACATGTATTTCAACTTTCAGTTAAAATCTGACCTCCATTTAAATTTTGCTTTATGAGCAAAACAGCAAAATGGGCAGAAGTTAAAATTGCAGTAAATTTATGAAAACTTCTTTATAACATGTCAGTTTTTGTTATTTATGAAATGTTGTTTGTAAGAAATTCTCTGTCAAAAAATATATTGATATTCAAGATATACAGATGTGTATTAAAATGAAACATGTACACTGAATGTTTTACATGAAGTTACTATTTGATTTTGAGTAATGATACAATAAATGTAATGTTAACAGGTGCATTGTAACATAGATTTATCTTCCCAAGTTATTTGAGAGGCCTAAATTTGTGAAGAACCCACCTATATCTGTTTTCAGTTCTGCAAAAATGCCATCAAATATTGTTCCTTTGAGTTGTGATCATGTTACCACTCCCCAATGATATCTTGGTTCCCTAGACTTATTGCAGGACATATACACGCATATTTATATAATGCTCAGAGGTATAACTAGATAAAATGAGGGGTGTTTGATCAAATTTCTTATGTAAAGCAACATCAGCATTACCTGAATAAATCCCCCATTAGAAGTATTAATGATTTCATGGTAGATTGAGAGTTGGATATTAGCACAATCAAAATTTGCACAAAAAATGTTTGTGTAACCCTAAGTTAATATATGTATTTATAATTAAAGTAATGTAAAATCTGCTAGAAAATGGTTACCGTTGGTGATATCCCAGATTTTTGCATGTATGACATTGAACATCTGAAAATGTCTACAGGTGGGATGGACTGTTGTCATATACATATTTGTTAACCCTAATGTAACAGTGCATAGACTAGTGCTTCAAATTAATTAATCATGAGTCCAGCCTGAAATAAACTATTGCTGAAATTATTACATTAACAGTACAGTTCTCTTAATGTCAATCCCTGAGGGAAACATGATAAAAAGAGAATTGTGATATTAAGGGAAACAATGAAAACAGAGCATTTTTAGTATAAACTTGATAAAGAAACTACACATCAATTCTTTATGAAGTTTGACTTTTCTGGTCTTGTTGCAGACTTTTCTACTAAATAGAAAATATGGCTAGACATTGACATAGCAAAATGTTTTACTTAAACTGGACAATTGACAATTAGCAGATGTATGATGGTTATTCAAAATTGAAGATGAAAACATTTTGACACATTTGAAAGTAACATATTGTGATAAAATGCTAATAAATGTATATAAAAAAATCATTTTCTTTCTTAAAAACCGTTTTTCCTATTTTCTTTGATTTATTGAATGATATTTTTTTCAGGATTAAAATAGTAACACAAAACACGTTCATGTTTAGGAATACCTCCTTGTATGTTGTTGTCTCAAAAGTATGCGCTCATTTTAAAAAAAAATTTTTATACTTCATTTTTTAACAAACATCAAAAAGATAATTAATCATAGTCAAAATCAATTAAAGTTTTGAATTTCACGTATGTCTGCTATGCAGTATGCAAATAATAGTACAATTCAACAAAATATGTTTTTGTTTTCATGTTTTTGAATATGTAATACAATTTGTTGTCGATTCTTCTGAACAGTAATACAGTCAAACCTGCCTTTAAGACTACCTGTCTATTAAGGCCACCTGAATATGACATATATATATACCAGTCTCTGAAGATGACCTTAATACAAGTCAAATTAATATAACAAACACCTGTCTTCAAAGACCATTTGCTCATAAAAATATTTAAACTGACTTCATGAAAACCAGAGTATCACAAATGCATGTACATGTCTACAAAGACCAACTGAATATTACAAACATCTGTGTATAAAGGTTACCTGATTATATGAAATACATGTACTTGTCTATAAAGGCTCCTGATTATAACACATTTCTTTCTAAAAAAACAAACAGGCAGTGTGTAAAACCCACCTGAATAAAGGGCCACCGAGTCATCTGATTATAACAAATACATGTAACTGCCTATAAAGACCACCTGAACATAATCTCTACAGTGATACTAATCAAAGAAACTGAACGTTCGTATAAAGGCTATCTGTAAAGCTCATCCTTCTGTATTCCTTTGGCCTTTATAGACAGGTCTGACAGTATACATGGGTGGGCTTACAACCAAATATGGTCTTGTATTTATTACTGTCAAATTAACATTTGGATCATGTAACAAAAGTCATATTTACACATCTGATTGCAACATAACAAAAACAAAATGTCACAATATCCATTAGTTTGATATTGTTACTAGTTCTGTCACTCAAATGTTTGTATGACTAGAAATGTTCTTGTAATCATAATTAAATGTGTCCGTACAATATTGAATCTCCTTTGTGTTTTTATCAGATTTGTTGCATATACGGTTTGTATATTATTTTACCACCAAGAAGTTTATTATTATGTATGTATGCATGAAAGACAATCCAAACCTCCTGTATGAAACATACCATGTGATTGTGTATTATGTATATAGAGAGTTTTTGATGATACAGCTGGTCCTAATTTGTCAAGTATTATATTTATGCCAGAAATTCATTCATAGAAAATATCATTTTTATATATATCATTGTTAAAAAGTTTATTCTGATAAAACTCCATGTTTGGTTATTGTTGAATAGAAATCATTACATTTTAGAAAAGAATTTGAAAAAAACCAGGTATGTTTATATAGTGCAGCTAAATTTCAAGAAACATTTTACAATACCTAACCTCAAATACTGAAAACCAATATATTTTAGCAGTAATCTGAAGCGCCTTTTTTGCGCTGAAAGTATTGCGCTATAATATGACTGCCCTAATCGCAGTTTCTGGTATATTGTTCATATAGCAATGAATGTGATCTTGTGAATTCATCATTGGTCTAATTTGCCAAAAAAAGGGATTAAGCGCCAAAAATTTCATTGCGCCAAATTAAGAACATTAACAGTATTTGTCTTATATACCATATCTAATCTTTTCTTCCAACGAATTTGAATCCATAAAAAAATTTGAAAAATAAACCAAAAGGAAGCATAATTTCCCCCTTACTGCATTTAAGAAAAATTATGTGTGACACATACCATGTGTACATCTATGCAACCATCGAAGAAGCGATCACATCTAATTTTGTGGCCTACTGCTATTGCCCTCCTCTAATTTTGTGGCCTACTGCTATTGCCCTCCTCAAAATTTGTGGCCTGCTGCTATTGCCTTCAAAAACTGTGGCCTACTGCTAGTCTTGCCCTCCTCTAAATGTTTGCTATTGCTCACCCTAGACTTATGACTTTATGCTTTTGGCTTCGCTTCTCTAAACTTGTGACTTTCAGTTATCTCTTAATACTTTGACCTCCTCTAATCCTCTAAATACTTGTTACTATATTATTATTACTGCCCCCCCCCCTTCCCCCTCCTATAAATACATGGGAGCTTCCTGCTATTGCTCGTCTCCTCACTCTCCCTCCCTGCCCTTCTCCTCCTCCTCTGAATGGGAAAACTCTTCTCTGTATCCTGATCACTTCTTTTAGAGTAAATGGTCTCGTCTCTTCAGCAAGTCTTTGCACTTATTATGAACTGACCCCTTGTGCTATCTCCTTTCCCCAAATGGAGTGACTGTAGAAACCCTTCCTTGAATTTCCACTACTTGTAGAATAAATGGAGTTAACCCTCCTGCTATCCTTTCAACCCATATTTGAATTTGATGGAATTATCTGTCCTGTTTTGCTGTACCCTTACTTGAGTGAATGGAAATACCCTCGCTGCTATTTTCATTAAGTAGGACCACATTTAGAGACAATTTGAGTTACTGATAATATCAACAACTGAATTAGCTGCACTGTATCTTCAAATGACATGTTCTACTTATTGTATATACCTCAACTTTGTTGACTCAAACTTGCATTGAAAGTTATATATGAATTCACAGTATGAAGAAGGACTCGTCTGTCCCTTTGTTCACAGTTACATAAAAAGATCAAACTGAAAATTGTCTTTATTGTTTTTTCAGTAAATTTGGTTGCACTACCGGTATGTACCTCCAACCTTCCATCATAGAACTTTGAATCATAAATTTATTCTAAATTTGCTTTTGTAAAGCTTAAGACTTTGATACACAGACATGTAGGCGACATAATGAAAATGGTGACTAAGGAACTAACTAGCATAGGGAGATCTGTATCACGTGTCATCACTGTTCAAAATCAATTTTGTTCTCAGTATTTTTATTTGTCAATTCTTTCAATTATTTCAGATATTTTAAAAATTTTGACATTTAACCTTTATTTTCAAATAATTAGAAATACATTCATACAATGGAAGCTTATTCTATTTCCTTGCATTAAGACCTTTAGTCGTGTATAGAATTATCTTAAGTAAAATAACTTACCTGGATGTGACATGGGAAGAAAAGTCTTGAAATCATACACTATTATTTGAAATAATATACATGTATATGCAAGAGTTTCTTCAAGATATGTAAATAGGGAAGAAAAGAAAGGTGACATAATAAAACACCAGTCACAAGCTTCCAACAGCAGGTGGGTACAATAAATAATACAAGAACATTTATTGGTATGAATTTATTACAGATATTCCTTACTGTCCGTACATCATATACAGTCCAGAGCTAGTATATTGACACAAACTTCTGGATCAGCAATTCTATGTTATTGACTGTACTCAATCATTTCATTTATGTATTTCAAAATGCATTGATAATTCAGGTTCTGCTCACACTGTCAAATTACCTATTTTTATTTAGAAATCTTGACATCACTTAATCTTCTTTTTCTCTGTCTGGCAAAAATGTCATACAGTTTTGGATCATGTATGAATGCTCTCTCTTTATGCATTCTTGGCATAAAACCTGAAACAAGAGAAACTTTTTTTTACATTAACGTCACTTTCTGACTGGTAACAAATGACTAATGTTCACACGCTAGGAATGTTCATTCATGTGGACAAACAGGTTTGTGGCACTTTTAATTTCAAAACTATTCAGACCTTCAAATATTTATACAGGCCTTGAAAGGCTTAGCCAAATCTTGTCACAAAGCAAAATACTTATACAATGAGCAAGTCTGTCCCTGTTTAATAAACAAACAAGAAAGGTTAGAACCTGATCAACATGTACATTAAAATCTAATAAAATTACGCAATAAAAGACATCAGTGTGTTGAAAATGATTAATCATTCATGCTAGTGATCTGAGAAAAAATAACAACTACAACTACAATGGAGGTTATTGAGTATTTGTTAGGTTGCTGGGTTCATTGTCTCAATGGCCAGAGTCCCCTTGAATAACATACGGGAGGCCCATTACAAGCCATCTAGAGTAATAAGGTTAAAGTGCCTTACCAAAGGCCACACAACCATATTAGCACGGAGAGGTCTATTTCTCATTTTCTCACCTGAGGTTACATTAAACAATGCACTACCAAGCAATCATAGCCTTTTCAATTATCTCCTGTAAAATCAAATTTTTTGGTGGGGGCTCAAATTTCAAATTTCCATAAATATTTATATTCATTGGCAATGATTTTGTGGATAATTAGTACTAATAAAATCCATTAACACTTAGATAATATGTATTCTTTAAGAGTAAGAGTACCCATGAAAAGAATGAAAATAAAGCCCCGACAAAAATATTGATGAACTGATTGTAACAAGAGATCACCATTGTTTGATCTTTGCTCTTTAAAAGTCAGATGTTTTCCCTTATTTTCTCTTCCCTTCTTAATGATACGAAATTTGAACATTCCTTTGCAGAAATAGTGATGATAATCTTTAACTGCCAAATCCAAAACAGTTGCCTATCAGTCATTTTGTTTTTCTGATCAGTCTCAAAATCAAATGGGGACTAAGGGAAAACTACATATGAAACTAGAGAAAGATCCATGAAGTATTTATGAAACAAGAGGCCCAATGGGCCTGCAGTGCTCATCTGTTATACCAGCGAAGTTGACACCTGCAACCTTAAATATAAGTCAAGGTCACTTTTGGCAACCATTGTTGGGCTGCATCCTAGGAACATACCAGCCAAATATCTTGCCTCTAGGCCTTAAAGTTTATGAGAAGAAGTTGTTTAAATGTTTTAACAAATTTTACCTCTGTGACCTTAATAATATGTCAAGGCCCATAATTCATTTCTTTTCGCAAACTTTGTTGAGCTTCATCCTAGGAACATACTAGCAAATTATCATGCCTCAAGGCCTTTTAGTTCATGAGGAGAAGTTTCATTTAAAGGTTTGAAGAAATCTGACCTCTGACCATGAAAAGAGGTTGAAGTCATTAATTTTTGCAAACGAAGCTTACCAGCCAAATATCGTGTTTTAACAAATCTGACCCCTGTGACCTTGAATATATGTCAAGTTCATTTTTTTCGAAAACTTTGTTGGACTTAATCCTAGGATTAAACCAGCCAAATATAAAAAAATTTAGTCCATCAATTATAGAGAAGAAGTTGTTTAAATAAAAATGTTGATGTCGGACAATGGAAAGATGCTGCACTACAGCATAAGCTCACTTGGCCCTTTGGTGAGTTAAAAGTAGCAATAACAAACTTTACTAGGCAAAATCCAAGATGACTGTCTGTCAGCCATTTTGTTTCTCTGATCTGTCACAAAATGAAACCGCCGTAACGAGACCAAGTGAAACATACATACAAAATTTAAGAAAGATCCATCCCATGCTTTTCAAGAAATACCAATAACCAACTTCACTAAGCAAAATCCAAGATGGCCGTCTTTCAGCCATTTTGTTTTTATGATCAGACCCAAAATCACAACTACAGACCAAGGGGTACCTACATATAAAATTAAAGAAAGATCCATTATGCCCTTTTCAAGAAATATCAATAACAAAATTTGTTTTTGTACCGACCACTGGTGATGGGCTAAAAATTGGTTACAGATGAACAGACAGACAGATGTAGAGTGAATTGAATATCCCACCATCTAATGATGGACAGACTGATGGATGTAGGGTGAATTGAATAGCCCACCATATAATGATGGACAGATAGACGGATGTAACATAAATTGAATAGCCCACCATCATTAGATGGTGGGCTAAAAAGATTCCTTAAGTGGTGTACTAACCAGCATGTTGCGCTCTGATGATAGAAGTAGAGACTATCTTCTGCATGTGAACACACAATCCTGTCTGGTGCCTCCCAAAAATACGTCCAGTGTAGGGGGACACAAACTGACTTAACAGGCGAACATTCTGTGAAAGGAAGAAAGTTGTTAGATTTCAGTCTACCTATACTAGAGTTACCAAGTAAAACAAAATGACAAAATTGTGAGAGAGACAGATAACTCAGAAAATTTTTCCACTTGTTGATTTTCAGCCTCTCCAAGATTATTGATGAGTCTGGGTGACTTAAATAAAAATTCCAATTAATCCTGTCCTCTGATTAGGCCATAAAAACTGGCAACTGGATAGTGGAACAACTTGATTAGTGCTAACTGGATTGGAGGACAAATGATTCAGAACTGGATTATATACATTGAAAAATTTGCCATTTTGATGATAAATACAATTACACAGTATAAAAAGTTTTAAAAAATCCACAAACATGGAAAACCATACTTGAAGGAGGCGAAATAAAATTGTGGTTGATGAATATAAGATATATATACACTGTATCCATATGTAGATGTAAAAATGGATAAAAAGTATCAACATGTCAACGACTCACAATCGAAAATTACATTCTATAAAACAAGGGCACAGTATGAACAAAAGAGAAATTTACACAGAGACTTCTGGTGCTCCAGAAGAGTAAATATTTTCTGCTTCACTGACAACATGATCATAAAAATCTTAATCAATCCAGTTAAAGTAATGTCACATAAAGTATGTATGCAGTTAAAGTGCCTACCTTGTAGTCCACTGGAACATTGGCTTTACAGAGTATACACTTTCGCTGCTCTGGTTCAAATGGGTCAACTTTCATTTTTACAGGCTGAAAAAATAATCAACAAAGTAAAAAAACATGAAACAAAATGTACATGATAATAAACTTAACCATCAGAATTTCCTCTGAACGAATCTAACAGCTGATACTTTTAAAGACATCAAAATCTTGTTCTGAGATTGAGCGACACAAAATCTAAAGATAAATGCATCTGTACAGTATGATATCTCTTCACCTAAAATTAGTTTCATCATACAGTTTTCTATCAATAGAACCAGTGACTTTGACCTTGACTTTAATGGAATTCTCGAAGAAGAAAATAAGGAAGGAAAAATTGCACCTGCTTAACCACTAAAGACAATATCAGCAAAAAATAAAAACACTTGGTAACTTCAAGGCCCTGCAGAAACTCAGCTATGGAATTCTGACTTTGGTCAATATGGTGTTATATCAATCTGGTTGAAAAAAATATTGACTGAAGGAAAACAAATCTTGACCAATATGAAAGATGCTTAAATTTATATTACATTTGCACATATCTACAGTAATATAGCTAATATCTTATACAAAATAGTCTTACAAATGCTTGACAATCACGAATTGTGTTACTTTCTAAAGAAATTTTAAACTTTTTTAAAAAATAAAATGACTCAGTTAGAATATCATAAATTATCCTTGTAGACAAAATATGATATTTCGGAGTCCATAACAATCGTTCACTATTCTAAGTTTAAAAACATGGAGATCAAATAACATAAATCAACCAGCATGTGAAAATATCTTATCCAATCAGAACACCGGAAAATGCTGAAGTACACTGTCTACAAAAATTGTATGAGAAAATTTACCTGTAGGTATTATTTCACCACAGAGACCAGAAAAATTTTAACACTAATATGAAACTGAACCATTTTCCTGAAACTGATTATAAGCCAACTATCCATTATACTGCTGATCAACGACTCATCCATGATGTAAAACCAAGGTTATATATCACACACAGACATATCAAAACAGAGTTCTTTCATAGTAAAAATTTGTATTTAATGTAAAATAATTTAACAAACATCTCATTTTGTAATGACTTATCTAAACACATAATTATGTACATGTATTTTTGATCAGGAAGACTACTGTGAAAGGAAATTCACTGATGATGAAAAGGGGGACACTTCTCAAAGTATTATAACTCTACTCACACTATCATTATCAAAAGGCTGTTTATGTTCCAATTGTGTGAGTAAATTTTCAACATCTCTAGCTGAAAATACTGTTCTTCGACGGTAATGACGTCTATTTGACAAGTTGTAAGGAAGGACTGGTCCATTTCTTCGTTCATATCTGGCTTTCAGCGTCAACTCGGACTCCTCAGATGACACCTTTGGTGTTTTCATAGAATCATCCCCAGTGTCACAATATTTCCTGAATATGATCGGCTGGTAGCCTACAAAAAAGTTTTATTACAATTTTTTAGGCACACAGATGTGTACATCGCACATAAATATAACAAATAAACATCATACTCGATTTAATTTACAAATTAATATCTTTTCTGAATAATAAAATCTCGTTGTGTGTGAGTATGGTGGACAGTTCAACTTCTGAAAACAAAATTATTTGAATTTGAAGCAGACATTCTCATTCGATTGAGTGTGTGACCTTCCTATTCAGGACTAATCTTAATTTATATACAACAAGAACGCACAAGAACAGTTAAATGTTTATTACACTAAAGAAAATAGACAAGCTACAGTTTGGCGTAACAGGGGCTACTCACTCTATTCATAATCACTATTAACTACTAGAAAATTATAACTTAAAATAAGACTCTGAGCTGTTTCGGAGCTAGATTAAGAGTCCCTACAGAGAAGTTACTAGACCCTGGACGATACCAGAGAAGCTACTAGACTCTGCAAGTGGCCCTAGAAAACAGCATTATAAATAGAATATTCACCACCAGCTAGACCCTCAACGATATGAGAGAAGCTGAAACAAATTGGGAATATTCTATTATTATGAATTGGGGGTAAAATTCCCCAAGAATTAAGTGCCAAAAAATGAATGCATGTTTAACAGAGTGATAACACACAGGTAACAACAAATATTAATAAGAAACTGATAAATGCAGAAGATCCTTAAGTTAAAATAGAGTGAGTAGCCCATTATACATAAAAATATGGTTATCTTATAACTGTTGCACATGAAACTAAAACAAAAAATACATGAGTATAAAATAAAACCAATGGTGTAGCCGGGGACGGTGGGTGGGAATGCACAAATTTCACAAACAAATGCCTCCACCAAAAACTCAAAAACTATATGCTGCAGGGCCTTCAGATCCCTAACAGGGCATCCTCCCCAAGAACGCTGATTGGTCAATTAATTAGCATCAACCAGAACTCATTAGCATACATAAATAAACAAAATTATAATGCCTGCAGGGCAAGGAAAATCACTAACACTAATACATAATGAAAATCTTAATTGAAAATTGCTATGTCAGCTAGCAAGGAGAACTTATTGTATATAAACTATAATTTAATAACAATATTAAATTATCATTTTATATACAACAAGAACGCACGAGAACAGTTAAATGTTTATTACACTAAAGAAAATAGACAAGCTACGGTTTGGCGTAACAGGGGCTACTCACTCTATTCATAATCACTATTAACTACTAGAAAATTATAACTTAAAATAAGACTCTGAGCTGTTTCGGAGCTAGATTAAGAGTCCCTACAGAGAAGTTACTGGACCCTGGACGATACCAGAGAAGCTACTAGACTCTGCAAGTGGCCCTAGAAAACAGCATTATAAATAGAATATTCACCACCAGCTAGACCCTCAACGATATGAGAGAAGCTGAAAATGTTAGCTAGACCCTCAATGATATGAGAGAAGCTGAAACAAATTGGGAATATTCTATTATTATGAATTGGGGGTAAAATTCCCCAAGAATTAAGTGCCAAAAATGAACGTATGTTTTAACAGAGTGATAACGCGCAGGTCAAAAAGAGTGAGAGCCCCCAAGAGATGATTTAGTGTGTGACCTTCCTATTCAGGACTAATCTTAATATGATCACATGCAGTTACTTTATTTCAATGGCAATAAGATATTTAAAGCTTACACGTGCAACTCGTTGTTCGCAATGCAGATATATGTGATTCTGCAAATACAGCTGGAAGACATAATCGTTTTGCAGCTGACCACACTCGTCCCCATGCTTGTAGTGCCATCTTGGTTTTTTTTTTAATCTTAAAAACAGGTCTTCAAAACGTTTGGATCACAATGCATTTGATCGGAAAATATTACAAGCTTTTAAAGTACCCTGATTGACTAGGATTTGTTTGAAAATGGCTACCTCTGTAAGTTATGCCGATAGCTAAATACAGAAAAAATGTTCATGTGTATCAAATTATGGTGATTTCAGCACCGTATGCCAAATGTTATAATACAAATACATATAAGTGACTAGGTATATACATATTTAACTTTCATACTCGCCATCATGTAAATACTAATGTATTTCATATGCGTTCGGGAAATTACATGGAATTTTTCACCTTATAAATAATAATAAATTATCATTTTTTGCTCACTTGCAAAGTTTCATAATTACATTTGTAGAGTGTGCACGTGTTCTGTGTTTCAATCAACAGAAAAAATATATTAGATCTTTTTAACAAACTAATTCTTGAAGACAATCATTGAATTTTTATAGTTACCATTTTTAAAATTGTAAGTAAGTTTTATTTTTGAGTTTTAACTAAAATTAGGAGGAAAAAATTGGAGTTTTCCTGTAATATAAAGACGGCAATATTTTTTCCAAGAGTGTCTTCAGTCTCTATCTACTGTCTGTGAACCCCAAACCTCCATATGTGTACTCACATCCCATCTCTGCAAACCATCATCTCCATCCCATGTGCACATGTTTTAATTACAGCAAAATATCCACACCCTAAAGTGATTATGATCTCATAATATACCCAATTTATCTCAGGAAAACGACATTATCATTACAATCTTTTTTATAACTCAAAAGTCAGGGGACGGGCATATTACAAGTAAATGAAAACCATCATTTGTAAGAAATTCTTACATATTGATATTCCTTTTTTTCTTATGATTTCACATATGATGGACTATATAGATATTCTGTCATATTTGGGAATACAATGATATTCAGTGGTTATCCAAGAAATATCCTCTTTAAACTGGACATACTACAATATCTCCTTACATAATAAGTGTTAATTGTGTCTGGACCTGAATTTAAAACTTAACTTTGTGCCTTGTTTGCTGTTGGTTTACATGGGTTATCGATGTAAATTTTATTTATTTAACAGATCTGGGTTTTTTTCTGTTTGTAGAAATGCGAAGATCCTCTTGGCAGTTCAGTAATAGAAGGCTTAGCTATACAGGATCATGGTGATCAGCGTTTTGAATTTGAATTGAAAATTGACAACTCTGCAGATTTTGATGTAGAAAGTCAACCCAATGAATCAATACCTGTATGTTCAGAAGATATATTAGTGCTATCTGATGGAGAAAATAAACTGTTAAGTTCCATAGCAGAAATTAAAGGGGGTGATCTCCCCAATACTGAAGGTTCAGACGATTGCCTTGAGAACTGCTTCACAGGTGAAAACATCACTAATGAGGATGGCATTGAACTTCAGTTGACCTCAGATCTTATTGAAACAGACACTAAAGAAATACTTACTGTACAAGACTTTTCCGATTTGAACATAATACCTCTCGATGATGACATCACTAATAATGTTTCTACACCGGATGTTGTTCCTGATCAGGAAGCAGTAATTTCAGTGTCTGAAACTACCATTGAACCTCATTCTACTGGAGAAATGTGTATTCCAACATTAAATCTGGAGAAACTGGATATAATGCAACAGAATGAGATGATATCAGTTGATAGTATTGAAATTAAAGAAAAACCAGTAAGTCAATATATAATACATACAAGTAAGAAGGAAAATCTTTTTATTTACTTGTTTATTTCTGTTGTTAATTTCAACAGAATGACTTTGTTTCAGGTATATCTTTAAATCTATCTCATTAATACATACATACATACATTCATGAAATAGTTGGTGTGTTATTTAGTGAATTTCCACCCATGTAATATTTTTGCATATGTCTTTAGTGTACTATACTCTGTATGGTTTTCATTGATTACATAATTCAGAAATTGACTGTTTTGTCATAATTCTGAATATGAACCATGACATTACGTCATAAGTTGAAAATGGGGCAGCAAAAAGACTGCCTCAGTTTGATTTTGTCTTCCATATTCAGACATCAGAATGTTACTTTTCTAAGTTAGATTACAAACAGAGTCATAAAATAGCTTTTATTTCAATTCTTTAGTTAAACTCATCTCAAAGTTTAACGTTTTGCTTACCAAGGCTCACAAAACTAAACAATTATAAAAATCTCATATAACATTAAAACTCCTTTATGTTACGAATAAATATGTTCCTATGATAGAGCAAAAGAAAAAAAATGACCCAGGATGTTGGTAACTGACCATAAGTCCAGCCTTGAGCAATATTTAACACAAGGTTTTAAAACTTCATGTAATGAGGTTATTACTCTTTGCTTAACACTTAACTGTTTTTTGTGAATTTTGAAATGCTTTACTAAACTGATGATTCTAGTCAGAAATATTTTTTCAACAGTATTTTTATTTGTATATATCACATTAATTTTCTTGTTTGATTGCTTTTCAAACAGCCAGATGAGACAGAAAATATTTCTTTGGCAGACTTAATGAAACATAGAGAGGAAGATGACTCCTCTGGATCAGAATTTGACTTTGAATTACCTTCTGCAGCCAAATCAACAACAGATGTGACAGAAAATCCTCAGTCACCAAGTAAAAAATTCAAAGCTCCAGCCCCTCCTCTACCAGCGGCATCACTGCTCCCTACCTATACCTCCACTTTGATACAATCTGCCTCTGTCCCATCAGCTACCATTGCCCAAAAAGTTAACAATACCACACCAGATCCAAGTCAGGGGTTAGAGGTCAAGACCCAAGTTGAAGAGGTCAACAAGGAATGCTTTACTTCAGGCAGCTTCCCGATTAGTTTTAAGCAGGCCTCACTGACATCCAATTTAACACTGGTATCTAAGGCTCCAGAGGCTGAAAATATTTCTGTGGCAATTGGAACAGATCTCATAAAGGATGAAGAGGAGGTGAGAAATATTCTGGAAGAATATATTTAGCTCGACATGGAAAGGGGGAAAAAAAGAGAGAAAAAAGAAAAAAAAAGAATAAGGAATAATAAATTCCATTGTAATTACTGCATTTTCTTTATTTCTAAAGATGTTGTTTTGTCAGTATGCAAGCCATTTTCATTTGGTCTTATCTTCATCAATTTTACTCTGATGACAAAGAATAATCCCTCCTAACTGATGTGAAAAAGGCAATAAAATGAACAGCTACAAACTTTTGCTTTCTGTATTACAACTATTCATGGTGATTAAATTTTGTAGAACATACTATAAGTTTATATTGTTCTGTTTTAATTTGTGTTAACTTTCACAGATTTGTTAATGTTGCAAAATATGAGAAAGAAAGTAGAGCTGTAGGAGATTATTCTGATACTCTATCAACATTTTGTATTGGTCTGGAGTTGACTCCAAACCGACATAGGAAAGTTGATGGGACATCAGAATTATTCTATTATCCATGTTTGATAGATTTAGCATATTGTTTACACTTTGGCTCAGTTTTTGTTTACCAATTAATGGTACCATGATAAAATCTAACATTCTGTGATACTTTATTCCTTCAGGAAAACATGTTTTATTCATGTATTGATACATAGGTTTTTTTTTTTTTTTTTTTTCTTTACAGCAAAACCACATGGCTCAATCAAAGCAAAATACAGTTCCCTCAGAACATTCGCAGGCTCAGAATGAATGGGAAAATGTTCAAACCATTGAAGCAGGTAATTCAAATAAAAAGAAAGGACTGATGAGAGAAGAAAAATAACTGCAAAATTAAAATATAGCACTTTTTGCAAGAATTGATCTTCATGAAATGGTAAAAACATTATCCATATTTTTAAGATTCTGCCAGTGTCCCCCAGGACGGGAACCCATTCTGCCAGTGTCCCCCAGGGAACCCATCCCCATATAGCTGCTGTGGGGATGTTAAACCTTGATCCAGCAAACAAACTTTCAAAACTTGTGTTGATATCTGTTTAGTTTATCTTTTGTGATTTTATCACTAATAGGAATGAGTTCAACATGGAACCTTCTTCTTTTTATCCAGATTCAACGACAGTGTTGTTTATATGTTTCAACATGTCAACAACACTGTCATTAAATCTGGATGAAAAGAAGAAACTTCTGTGTTGGAACCATTCCTATTAGTGATATTATTTGGATTACCCCAGTGAGGTCTCATATATACAGTCATATCCACAGTAGTTTTGTCAAGAATGCAACAATTTATACATTGAGGGACATTGTGCCTCCACCCGTTTATATTTTGTGGTTTTAGTATTTAAGTAGTAATATTTTTTTAACTGTTTTTCTCACAATCATTTAGGATTGTATACTACCTTACTATAAACATGTTATCTTTCCAAAATAAATTTCAAAACTACAACTTTAGTTTGACAATACGGTTTTTGTATTGAAATAACCTACCAACATGCCCAGTGCTCAGGGACTGTACTTCTATATAGGGGTTTTGATTTTTTTTCTTTAGAGTTATGTGAGAGTTTAGTGACATTTTGTCTATGAATGGACATATGTTCAACACAATGATGGCTGTAAACTCTCTAATTATCCAAGCTGTAACACAAAGGATCAGTACCATGCATGTAGTTAGTACCTGCTATCCGTCAATCTGTTATTTACTTAATTCAAATTCAATGTGTTTTAAGCTTAACATACATTTACCAGACTTTATAGGAAAGTTTGAGGAGTAGAGGCACATGCATTTCCAAGACCTTTTTCACATTTTTTTTTTTTTATATTTATCTATTGTTTTTTTTTGTTTTTTGTTTTTTTAGGTCGCCTGAGCCGAAGGCTCATGGTAACCTATTGCCATCATGATTTGTCTGTCGTCATGCGTCGTTAATTTTCACATATTCGACTTCTTCTCAAGAACCACAGCATAGATTTTGACCAAACTTGGCACAAAGCATCCCCATGGGAAGCTGCTTCAAGTTTGCGAAGAAAAAGGGTGTGGCCCCATTAGGGACCTCAGGAGGGGGAAAAAGGGGGTAAAATTAGGTAAATCTTTAAAAATTTTCTTCTCATGTACCAAATGTCAGATTAAGTTCATATTTGATATTTAGGGTCCTTATGGCATGGTCTACAAAGTTTGCGAATGAAAAAAAATTGGGTCAAAACCGGCCCCACGAGGGGGCGCTCAAAAGGGTAAAAAATTCAACTTTGAATGATTTCAACCAAATTTGGTAGAAAGCATCCCTTAGTGAAGGATATATGAAATTATGTTGAAAAAAGTGATTATGTCCTCTTTGGGGCCCATAAGGGGTATAAAAGGAGCCATATGTAAAAACCGTCATTAAATGACTACTTCTCAAGAACCAGTAGATGGATTTTGACCAAACTTGGCACAAAGCATCCCCATGGGAAGCCGCTTCAAGTTTGCAAAGAAAAAGGGCATGGCCCCAATAGGGGCCCCAGGAGGGGGAAAAAGGGGAAACATGATACGAATGTTCTACACAAGGTCCTGGCAAGTGTTTTAACTTTTTGGGGCGATTCAAAATCCAAGATGGCCACCCTGGCCTCTGTTTGGCTAAGACATTATGGACTTCCTCTCAAGAACCATTGGGTGGGTCATGTTCAAACTTGGTACAGATGTTTTACACATGGTCCTGCACAAGTGTTGTTACATTTTTGCAACATTTTAAAATCCCCAGATTATTGACATATATTCCTCAGGTGACCGTTAAGGCCCCTTGGGCCTCTTGTTTGTCTGTGGGAACAAGTTTATTTATATTCAGCCTGTGACTTACAGTTCTACATTTTCATTTTCACATTATAAGTGGTTTCATTTTCCAGGTTTCACAGATCACACCAAAGGTATGGATTCACTTTTTTATAATTTCAGAGCACATTTTAATAAAAATTCTTTACTATTGTGTCGATTTATTATTCTTGTTATTATCAATGTTCACATTTTGATTGAAAAAATTAATTCTGATTTGTTATTTATTCGGCTTGTGTAGACAACCACAGTTATCCACATCAGTGTCAGAATTATCTACCACTGACATTCAGGAACAATAGAAATGGAAAGCAAAACAATGTTAATGATAGTACAGTGACATCCACATAGGGACCAAGGGAATGGTGGAAAAAACAGACGTATGTTCTATTAAGTAAAATGATCGCTGCTGGTCCTGGGTTTACATCAGTATCAAAGGGGAGAGAATCAGTTCACTAATAATGTTTTCAAGCTGAATATTTCATTTGGAGAAAAGGCATAAGTGATGGAGGTAATTCTTTGTGAGAGACTGTAACCTTTGGTTTGACAAGCCAGTAGCAGTGTCATTGAGGATAATCATTTCTTATGTATGGATTGATGGAGAAGTAGTGAAAAAGTTATTATTAAAGAAGAAATTATATAAAAAATAATCCTATTGTTTTAATGGATAAGAATTGAGTGTTTGGGTTTTATAGTTAAAGCACAGAATACTGAAGGATAGGGAAGGAAAGTCCATATTAAGCCACTGTAGTATTGTACATTATAGATATGTACTCCAATAAATTGCACTCCGTAAAACCTATCTTTGGTGAATGGTCTCCTTGCTATAGAGACAGCCATCGAGACGAAGTTGTCCTTCCCCGTCTTCGGATGGTCCATGCAAACCTTACACATTCATGTATGTTGAAAGGCGAAGATAATACTCTGCATAGGATGTGATGAGTCATTCACCATTAAATATTTTTTATTGGTCTGCATTGACCTTCTGTCTACTCGAGAAACTTTTTATCGTAACATTACAAATCTAAAGACCCATTTTGAAACTGTTAAGATTTGTAAAATTCTAGGTTACCTGAAAGATGTTGGTCTATATAATAGACTATGACATACAATTTCACTCTTTTGTGATAATATACCCATTTAAGATTTCTAGTATTTGTCTTTTATGTTTTAGTTTGTTTGATGTTATTTCTTTTTTGGGTCACTGTGTGTTTTACTGGTTGATGGCCCTAATGACCTTTTATGTGTTGACAGGCCCTAATGACCTTTTATGTGTTGACAGGCGTTAAGAATGTCATAATAATAATATACTTCCTCCAGCAAAATGTGGATCCTACATGGTTGTTCAATTACAGGTCCCAGAGGAGCCAAGATGACACCTCTTATGTCTTATTTTGAGCTGGAGGAAACTCTTAGACCAATGGATTACTCTAGTGCAATGGTAGGTCAAGCACCAGCATGGACATAAAAAGGTCACCTGCCCTTTTGCATGAGAACATATTTGTATGGAAGCTGAATTGTAGGTCCCAACCCCGGCACTAATGTTTGTATAAATGTTCTGGTACAATGAAATATTGATTGAAGTATTGAAAAAAAACACAACACATTTTACATTGAAAGATTATGTAAATATTGTTATTGTCACAATTTCATTTCCATTGATAATCAGTTTTGAGTCTACATGTTAATCTTGCTTTCGTTCATATATTGCCCGAGTTTTCTTGAAGTTGAGTATGCATTATGATTATGTTGACATGATGGTATTTTCTTGTTGTTTTATAGCTCACTGGGTCTGAAGGAGTAGTTACATATTGTTTATATATACTTTATTCTGTTTTCAGAAACATATCCGCCAAACTGTAAACAGACGTGGGTTTTCAGCTCTAAAACACATTTTGTTTGGACCCCCAAAACTGAATAGAAACCTGCTGAAAGAAAAGGAATTCATCTTCTGTTTAGCTGCAAGTCAGTATCTTATTTTCTGAGGTTGAGGCCTTCAAATATGCAAAATTATTCCATTCCAAAGGATCCTGACTTTACTTTCTAAAAAAGGAAAAGAATTTTGATAACAAACGATTAATAAAAAGTGAGAAAATTGTTTTATGTATGCTATATAAGAACAAGTGCTATTCATACAGATTTTATTATAGGTTACATGGATTGTATTCTTGGAAAATGTGAGGAAAACAATTGAATTTGTCTGTTATTGATATATTTTATTATCATGCATTCAGGTTTGAAATAACACACTGTAACTGGTGAATGAAACTGTGGATGTAACTGTGGAATGTAACTGGTGAATGAAACTGTGGATGTAACTGTGGAGAATAAATGTGGAATGTAACTGTGGAGTATAAATGTGGAATGTAACTGTGGAGTATAAATGTGGAATGCAACTGTGGAGTATAAATGTGGAATGTAACTGTGGAATGAAACTGTGGAATGTAACTGGAGTATAAATGTGGAATGTTACTGTGGAGTATAAATGTGAAATGTAACTGTGGAGTATAAATGTGGAATGTAACTGTGGAATGAAACTGTGGAATGTAACTGGAGTATAAATGTGGAATGTAACTGTGGAGTATAAATGTGGAATGCAACTGTGGAGTATAAATGTGGAATGTAACTGTGGAATGAAACTGTGGAATGTAACTGGAGTATAAATGTGGAATGCAACTGTGGAGTATAAATGTGGAATGAATCTGTGGAATGTAACTGTGGAATGTAACTGGAGTATAAATGTGGAATGTAAATGTGGAGTATAAATGTGGAATGTAACTGTGGAATGTAACTGTGGAGTATAAATGTGGAGTGTAACTGTGGAATGTAACTGGAGTATAAATGTGGAATGTAACTGTGGAGTTTAAATGTGGAATGTAACTGTGGAATGAAACTGTGGAATGTAACTGTGGAATGTGACTGTGAATGTAACTGTGGAATGTAACTGGAATGTAACTGTGGAATGTAACTGTGGAGTATAAATGTGGAATGTAACTGTGGAATGTAACTGTGGAGTATAAATGTGGAATGTAACTGTGGAATGTAACTGTGGAGTATAAATGTGGAATGTAACTGTGGAATGTAACTGTGGAGTATAAATGTGGAATGTAACTGTGGAGTATAAATGTGGAATGTAACTGTGGAGTATAAATGTGGAATGTAACTGTGGAATGAAACTGTGGAATGTAACTGTGGAATGTAACTGTGAATGTAACTGTGGAATGTAACTGTGGAATGTAACTGGAATGTAACTGTGGAGTATAAATGTGGAATGTAACTGTGGAGTATAAATGTGGAATGTAACTGTGGAATGAAACTGTGGAATGTAACTGTGGAATGTAACTGTGGAATGAAACTGTGGAGTATAAATGTGGAATGTAACTGTGGAATGAAACTGTGGAATGTAACTGTGGAATGTAACTGTGGAATGTAACTGTGGAGTATAAATGTGGAATGTAACTGGAATGTAACTGTGGAGTATAAATGTGGAATGTAACTGTGGAATGTAACTGGAGTATAAATGTGGAATGTAACTGTGGAATGAAACTGTGGAATGTAACTGTGGAATGTAACTGTGAATGTAACTGGAATGTAACTGTGGAATGTAACTGTGGAATGTAACTGTGGAGTATAAATGTGGAATGAAACTGGAATGTAACTTTGGAATGTAACTGTGGAGTATAAATGTGGAATGTAACTGTGGAGTATAAATGTGGAATGTAACTGTGGAATGTAACTGTGGAGTATAAATGTGGAATGTAACTGTGGAGTATAAATGTGGAATGTAACTGTGGAATGAAACTGTGGAATGTAACTGTGGAATGTAACTGTGGAGTATAAATGTGGAATGTAACTGGAATGTAACTGTGGAATGTAACTGTGGAGTATAAATGTGGAATGTAACTGTGGAATGTAACTGTGGAGTATAAATGTGGAATGTAACTGTGAATGTAACTGTGGAGTATAAATGTGGAATGAAACTGGAATGTAACTGTGGAATGTAACTGTGGAGTATAAATGTGGAATGTAACTGTGGAATGAAACTGTGGAATGTAACTGGAGTATAAATGTGGAATGTTACTGTGGAGTATAAATGTGAAATGTAACTGTGGAATGAATCTGTGGAATGTAACTGTGGAATGTAACTGTGGAGTATAAATGTGGAATGTAAATGTGGAGTATAAATGTGGAATGTAACTGGAATGTAACTGGAGTATAAATGTGGAATGTAACTGTGGAGTTTAAATGTGGAATGTAACTGTGGAATGAAACTGTGGAATGTAACTGTGGAATGTAACTGTGAATGTAACTGTGGAATGTAACTGTGGAATGTAACTGTGGAATGTAACTGTGGAGTATAAATGTGGAATGTAACTGTGGAATGTAACTGTGGAGTATAAATGTGGAATGTAACTGTGGAATGTAACTGTGGAGTATAAATGTGGAATGTAACTGTGGAATGTAACTGTGGAGTATAAATGTGGAATGTAACTGTGGAATGTAACTGTGGAGTATGAATGTGGAATGTAACTGTGGAGTATAAATGTGGAATGTAACTGTGGAATGAAACTGTGGAATGTAACTGTGGAATGTAACTGTGAATGTAACTGTGGAATGTAACTGTGGAGTATAAATGTGGAATGAAACTTTGGAATGTAACTGTGGAATGTAACTGGAATGTAACTGTGGAGTATAAATGTGGAATGTAACTGTGGAGTATAAATGTGGAATGTAACTGTGGAATGAAACTGTGGAATGTAACTGTGGAATGAAACTGTGGAGTATAAATGTGGAATGTAACTTTGGAATGAAACTATGGAATGTAACTGTGGAATGTAACTGTGGAATGTAACTGTGGAGTATAAATGTGGAATGTAACTGGAATGTAACTGTGGAGTATAAATGTGGAATGTAACTGTGGAATGTAACTGTGGAGTATAAATGTGGAATGTAACTGTGGAATGAAACTGTGGAATGTAACTGTGGAATGTAACTGTGAATATAACTGGAATGTAACTGTGGAATGTAACTGTGGAATGTAACTGTGGAGTATAAATGTGGAACGAAACTGGAATGTAACTTTGGAATGTAACTGTGGAGTATAAATGTGGAATGTAACTGTGGAGTATAAATGTGGAATGTAACTGTGGAATGTAACTGTGGAGTATAAATGTGGAATGTAACTGGAATGTAACTGTGGAGTATAAATGTGGAATGTAACTGTGGAGTATAAATGTGGAATGTAACTGTGGAATGAAACTGTGGAATGTAACTGTGGAATGAACTGTGGAATGTAACTGTGGAGTATAAATGTGGAATGTAACTGGAATGTAACTGTGGAGTATAAATGTGGAATGTAACTGTGGAATGTAACTGTGGAGTATAAATGTGGAATGTAACTGTGGAATGAAACTGTGGAATGTAACTGTGGAATGTAACTGTGAATGTAACTGTGGAGTATAAATGTGGAATGTAACTGTGGAATGTAACTGTGGAGTATAAATGTGGAATGAAACTGGAATGTAACTTTGGAATGTAACAGTGGAATGTAACTGTGGAATGTAACTGTGGAGTATAAATGTGGAATGTAACTGTGAATGTAACTGTGGAGTATAAATGTGGAATGTAACGGTGAATGTAACTGTGGAGTATAAATGTGGAATGAAACTGGAATGTAACTGTGGAATGTAACTGTGGAATGTAACTGTGGAATGAAACTGTGAATGTAACTGTGGAGTATAAATGTGGAATGTAACTGGAATGTAACTGTGGAGTATAAATGTGGAATGTAACTGTGGAATGTAACTGTGGAGTATAAATGTGGAATGTAACTGTGGAATGTAACTGTGGAGTATAAATGTGGAATGTAACTGTGGAATGTAACTGGAGTATAAATGTGGAATGTAACTGTGGAGTATAAATGTGAATGAAACTGTTGAATGTAACTGTGGAATGTAACTGTGAAATGTAACTGTGAATGTAACTGTGGAGTATAAATGTGGAATGTAACTGTGGAATGAAACTGGAATGTAACTGTGGAGTATAAATGTGGAATGTAACTGTGGAGTATAAATGTGGAATGTAACTGTGGAGTATAAATGTGGAATGTAACTGTGGAATGAAACTGTGGAATGTAACTGGAGTATAAATGTGGAATGTAACTGGAATGAAACTGGAATGTAACTGTGGAGTATAAATGTGGAATGTAACTGTGGAGTATAAATGTGGAATGTAACTGTGGAGTATAAATGTGGAATGTAACTGTGGAGTATAAATGTGGAATGTAACTGTGGAGTATAAATGTGAATGAAACTGTGGAATGTAACTCTGGAATGTAACTGTGGAATGTAACTGTGAATGTAACTGTGGAGTATAAATGTGGAATGTAACTGTGGAGTATAAATGTGGAATGTAACTGTGGAATGAAACTGTGGAATGTAACTGAGGAGTATAAATGTGAATGAAACTGTGGAATGTAACTGTGGAATGTAACTGTGGAATGTAACTGTGAATGTAACTGTGGAGTATAAATGTGGAATGTAACTGTGGAGTATAAATGTGGAATGTAACTGTGGAATGAAACTGGAATGTAACTGTGGAGTATAAATGTGGAATGTAACTGTGGAGTATAAATGTGGAATGTAACTGTGGAGTATAAATGTGGAATGTAACTGTGGAGTATAAATGTGGAATGTAACTGGAATGTAACTCTGGAGTATAAATGTGGAATGTAACTGTGTGGACTTCATCTTTTCACTGTACTACAAAACTTTATTTACACTTTGAGTCAGATTATTTGTTTGAACATGCTTGTTTTTGGGCAACCATATTTTCAAATTTAAGCACAATTTTGTTAATTTTGCACAAATTAGTGCAGTGACATATTGATGCATTTGCAATAATGTATTAATGTATTAATGACATACACAAACTACAATAATCACAGTCATGTTTTAGTGTATTATATTATGTGTAAAAAGAACTAAGATAAGATTAACGCTATAATAAATATGTATACAGTTACTACGGTACATACATTATTTATCTTTTGATAAGCAAAGGGGCAGACATATATTTTTTTACTATTAAAGCAGCGAATGGGCTTTTTATAGAACAATGAAATAGCTTTTGATCATGATTTTACTTGCAGCAATATATTTTTGGGTGGGCTTATCTTCAGACAGGGCTTATTGGTGCATAATTATGGTATATGAATTATGGTGTACTAATGGTCAATTAACTTTGTAGCCCAACTAGACAACAGTACCCTTGTTCACACTCGTGCCCTCCAAACCATCTATAGATGTCTGACTGGATCGCGGTTTGATTGTGGAAGGTTTGGGCCACACTGGGAGGAAGTTGGATTTCAAGGTCAATAATATTCTTTATTTGATAGCACTTCATATTTTTATGATTTTGGTTACTACATGGCTGTGTATTAATCAATACAGCATTGTTTGTAGATTTTTAAGGAGGAAATATTTTGTTCAATTTTCATTGTTCCTAACCAACCATTATCAGATGATGGGCTGTTCTAAAGATCTTTTGCCATCCATTTATTCATATCTACAAAAGTGGCTGTCATCTTAAATATTGAATGAATGTTTACTACTGCTGTTTCTCAATAGGCAATAGATGGATCTTCCTCAATGAATGGAGGATTCTATTGGCTTAAATAGATATTTGTATATGCTTGTTATCTAGACTTCTGTGATAAATGAAATGGCAAACATACAGCCATTTGGAAGTTTGACACGTAGAGGGCTGACAATGCCATACTGTGATATAATCACAGCAATCACAAATGATTCATTACCATTTGCATGGATGATGTATCTAGATATACCTATATAAGTCAAACCTGTCATTTAAGGTCAGGGAAAAGCAGAAATAGTGGTCTTTATAAGCAAGTGACCTTTTTATAGATGTTCAGTTACTATGAATTGTGTTGCTTTGGAACCTCAAGCCAGTAGCTTTTATCAACAGGTATTTGTTATATACTGCTTTATAGGCAGATCTTCATTATACTCCACTGACCTTTATCAATTAGCACACCTGCCTTTATAAGCATCATCCTTTAACTAAGGCAGATTTGTTCTATATGATTGCTTTTCAAGAGAGGTTTGACTGTATCATCATATAAGACATGTTTTATGCTTGTTTTTAAAATATGTAAATAGAAATAAGTATGAAGGTAAATACAAGTGCTGAATCCATCGAACCATCAGGGCATTATTCAACATCACCAGTCACTGCCAAATTTTACAGGTGAACATCCCAGATATTGTTTATATAAGTTTTGTGATGATGTTTCATTTTAGGTAACGACCCTTCTACTGATCTACGTGGGACGGGCATACTTGGTTTACTAAATCTGGTCAATTTATTGAGAAATCCCAAACGACAGTCTCTGGCTCAAGACATTTACAAACTTTCTCTCCATCCCACACAAGTAAGATCAGTGTGAACCTATATTCTAATACTTTTGATTTAAACATGGACTTAGATATGTCTTATGTCCTCATTTTAATATTATTTCATTTTATATACATGTATTTCTTCTCACATTTAAAAGGTGTTTTTGGGCCATACTTTGCTTTCAGAATTCAATTCCAATTTTTCTCTGAAGCTGTTTTGATTTTAGAGTAGAAGTTTGATTGCTATGAAAGAGAGATCCAGATATTAGGAAAATACCAGAATTGGCCAAATTGACTTGTAGATGAGTTCTTTAATTTAATGTAAAACTGTTAACTTCATGTCCTTTTATTTCAGAATTTTCCATTCTGTGTCATGGGGATCAACATGTCAAGGATAGCTATACAGGCACTTCGGGAAGACTGCCTTAATAAGTATGGATGTTTGCATTCTGATCTGCTAGAATTACTACCCTTCTTTCCACATACCAGATAGCATAACTTAAAGGGGGAGCATTGAGAATGACTTGATTATACAGACTTTTAAATGGAGACAAGTGAACTTTAATTAGTACGTTGTTGAAAAAACAAATAAAGCATTTTTTTTTTCATTTTTCACTTCATGTGCAATAAGAAAGAAAATTTTGGATTGGTCCTTTCATAACATACGTACATGTGTCGTTCAGATTTACCCCAACCTAACATATCAGATTTACCCCAACCTAACATATCAGTGCTCAATAGCTGATAACATATCAGCTATTGAGATAGCTGTGAAAATACATAAATACATTTTGTAAGATTTCAAGGTTATTACTATTTAAATGACTGAAAAAAACTCCAGAAAATTAACATTTTTGATCTCTGCTGATTCATTAGAGCCAGTTCCAGTGTGTTTGTCATGGATTATATTCTGTACCAGCTGAACTGTTTCAACCTGATAAATAATTGCCCCTAAAATAACAAATCCTAACAGCAATGAAAAATGAGTGTAAAGAAAATGAAAGTAATGGTTATTTTTGTTTTGTAAGTATATAGCATTTAAGATGAAGGGAGGGGAGGATTCAGTACTTTAAACCAAATCATCTTCTCGTCAACTTAATTTTGTTTTTTTTAATGTGTAACAACTTTTCGTGGTGATTTATTTTCATGATTTACAGTAATAAATCAAGATATATAGGACTGGTTTATTTTAAAGTAAGTAAAACAATTTTGTGGCATTGTTGACTTGTGTAAATTTTCATTTATATATGAGATTATTACTAGTTTATGAGGTGTATTAAACAGCAATCATTCATAGGTCAACTAGAAACATAAGCCCAAGTTTATATGTAAAGGGCCTCCTGTACCTGTGATTGAAACTGTTTCAAAGCAATTATTTTTTATGCATTCTAATCTCCCATGAAATACTGAAATTAAGTGCTCGTGAAAATGAGTCATTTGACAGTATAACTTGACTGGCAGAAACAAAATCTATTAATTGTTGAAAGATTGGATTATGTAATTCTCTGTCAAAATAATTGTCAATCAAAAAAGAGACTGCTGAATCCTGTGATAAATTTACTTGCCTTAGCCCTGTACTCAAAGTTTTTATGGGATTGATAGATCTTTTTGAAATACTTAAATTTTACATTATTTGGCCCGTCATTTTCAGTAATAAAGATGAAAAGGACTCTTAAAATTTAATTGTTTATTGAACACTGAAGTCCACATCTGCCTTATTGCTGTCCAATGAAATTGAACCATTATTTACAATTTCATTGTTCTATGGCACTGTTTTACCCTGTTTTGTGCAATAAAATTTTAGCACAGTATAAATTTTTTAACAATTACAAATAAGTGCATTGGTGGACTTGAACATTTTCAATAATCTCTATATCAATAACATACAGAAACAATAATATTTTAGTAAAATATTTCAAGTAAAAAAAACTGCTAATCTTTGCAATAAGCCCTCCTCCATTTGCTTTAGGGAGAAGTAATGTATTTGGCTCCCTAGGGCTTATTGCAGGGGGATTATAATTAACTACATGTATTTGATATTGTTACTGTGTATAAATAATTCTTTATTTTGCTTGTAGGGAATGCAATAAGCGACAAGAAGTTTTAGATGTGATCAATGATTTCTATGCTGCTTTATATCTGGATCTGTATCAGACCTGGAAATCTCAGGGAATGACAATCACAGATTCTGGACATGTTATCAAATGTAGGTTGTGTAACATATATAAGACCTTGTACTTGTAGTGAAAGTTTTAGACATGGTCTGAATGACTGTGTCTGTTGGGCTGCAGTGACCGAGTGGTTTTGGCCTCGTTAGGTACTGGTCGTTGGATGGTGGTTTTTCTCTGGAAACTTCAGCTTTCCTCCACCAGCTAAACCTGGCATGTCTTTAAATTACCCTGGCTGTTAATGGGACGTAAAGCAATGATAAACTAAACTGTGTTTGTCTGTTTAAATCAATTTGCTTTTTTTATCAAGGAAACTGTAAAATCGTCTTCCCTGTCTCTACCCCTATCTGTCGTCATTCTCTCTGTCTGTTCCTCTTCCTGGTTGATGTCCTCCCTGTCTGTTGCTCTATCTGGTCATTGTCATTTCTGTCTGTTCCCCTGTCTAGTCATCATCCTCTCTGTCTGTTCCTCTGTCTGTAGCGCTGTCTGGTCATTGTCCTTTCTGTCTGTTCCCCTGTCTAGTCATCATCCTCTCTGTCTGTTCCTCTGTCTGTAGCTCTATCTGGTCATTGTCCTTTCTGTCTGTTCCCCTGTCTAGTCATCATCCTCTCTGTCTGTTCCTCTGTCTGTAGCTCTGTCTGGTCATTGTCCTTTCTGTTTGTTCCTCTGTCTGTAGCTCTGTCTGGTCATTGTCCTCTCTGTCTGTTCCTCTGTCTAGTCATCATCCTCTCTGTCTGTTCCTCTGTCTGGTCGTTGTCCTCCCTGTCTGTTCCTCTGTCTTGTCGTCGTCTTCCCTGTCCCTTCCCCTGTCTAGTTGTCTTCCTCCCTTTCTATTCCCATGTCTTGTCTTCATCCTCCCTGTCTGTTCCTCTATCTGGTCATCGTCCTTCCTGTCCATTCCCCTGTCTGGTCGTCCTCGCTGTCTGTTCCTGTCTGGTCATTGTTTCTCTCTGTCTGTTCCTCTGCCTGGTCGTTGTCCTCTGTCTGTCCCTCTATCTGGTTGTTGTCCTCTCTGTCTGTTCCTCTGTCTAGTTGTTTTCTGATCTGTCTGTTCCTCTGTCTGGTTGATATTCTCCTTGTCCGATCCCTGTCTGGTCCTCTTCCATTCTGTCTGGTCATTGTCCTCTCTGTCTGTTCTTCTGTCTAGTCATCATCCTCTCTGTCTGTTCCTCTGTCTGTAGCTCTGTCTGGTCGTTGTCCTCTCTGTCTGTTCTTCTGTCTAGTCATCATCCTCTCTGTCTGTTCCTCTGTCTGGTTGATATTCTCCTTGTCCGATCCCTGTCTGGTCCTCGTCCTTTCTGTCTGGTCATTGTCCTCTCTGTCTGTTCTTCTGTCTAGTCATCATCCTCTCTGTCTGTTCCTCTGTCTGTAGCTCTGTCTGGTCGTTGTCCTCTCTGTCTGTTCTTCTGTCTAGTCATCATCCTCTCTGTCTGTTCCTGTGTCTGTAGCTCTGTCTGGTCGTTGTCCTTTCTGTCTGTTCCTCTGTCTGTAGCTCTGTCTGGTCATTGTCCTCTCTGTCTGTTCTTCTGTCTAGTCATCATCCTCTCTGTCTGTTCCTCTGTCTGTAGCTCTGTCTGGTCATTGTCCTTTCTGTCTGTTCCTCTGTCTGTAGCGCTGTCTGGTCATTGTCCTCTCTGTCTGTTCTTCTGTCTTGTCATCATCCTCTCTGTCTGTTCCTCTGTCTGTAGCTCTGTCTGGTCGTTGTCCTTTCTGTCTGTTCCTCTGTCTGTAGCGCTGTCTGGTCATTGTCCTCTCTGTCTGTTCTTCTGTCTAGTCATCATCCTCTCTGTCTGTTCCTCTGTCTGGTCGTTGTCCTCCCTGTCTGTTCCTCTGTCTTGTCGTCGTCTTCCCTGTCCCTTCCCCTGTCTAGTTGTCTTCCTCCCTTTCTATTCCCATGTCTTGTCTTCATCCTCCCTGTCTGTTCCTCTATCTGATCATCGTCCTCCCTGTCCATTCCCCTGTCTGGTCGTCCTCGCTGTCTGTTCCTGTCTGGTCATTGTTTCTCTCTGTCTGTTCCTCTGCCTGGTCGTTGTCCTCTGTCTGTCCCTTTATCTGGTTGTTGTCCTCTCTGTCAGTTCCTTTGTCTGGTCGTTGTCCTTTCTGTCTGTTCCTCTGTCTGTCCCTCTATCTGGTTGTTGTCCTCTCTGTCACTTCCTTTGTCTGGTCGTTGTCCTCTCTGTCCGTACCTCTGTCTAGTCATCTTCCTTTCTGTCTGTTCCTCTGTCTGGTCATTGTCCTCTCTGTATGTTCTTCTGTCTAGTCATCATCCTCTCTGTCTGTTCCTCTGTCTGTAACTCTGTCTTGTCGTTGTCCTCTCTGTCTGTTCCTCTGTCTAGTCATCGTCCTCTCTGTCTGGTCATTGTCCTCTCTGTCTGATCCTCTATCTGGTCATTGTTCTCTCTCTCTGTTCCCCTCTCTGGTCCTTGTCCTCTCTGTCTGTTCCTGTGTCTGGTCCTTGTCCTCTCTGTCTGTTCCTGTGTCTGGTCCTTGTCCTCTCTGTCTCTTCCTCTGTCTGGTCGTCGTCCTCTCTGTCCATTCCTCTGTCTGGTCATTGTCCTCTTTGTCTCTTCCTATGTCTGGTCGTCATCCTCTCTGTTGATTCCTCTGTCTGGTCCTTGTCCTCTCTGTCCGTTCCTCTGTCTGGCCGTCGTCCTCTCTGTCCATTCCTCTGTCTGGTCCTTGTCCTCTCTGTCCGTTACTCTGTCTGGTCGTCGTCCTCTCTGTCTGTTCCTCTGTCTAGTCATCGTCCTCTCTGTCTGGTCATTGTCCTCTCTGTCTGATCCTCTATCTGGTCATTGTTCTCTCTGTCTGTTCCTGTGTCTGGTCCTTGTCCTCTCTGTTGATTCCTCTGTCTGGTCCTTGTCCTCTCTGTCCGTTCCTCTGTCTGGCCGTCGTCCTCTCTGTCCATTCCTCTGTTTTGTCGTCGTCCTCTCTGTCTGTTCCTGTCTGGTCATTGTTTCTCTCTGTCTGTTCCTCTGCCTGGTCGTTGTCCTCTGTCTGTCCCGCTATCTGGTTGTTGTCCTCTCTGTCAGTTCCTTTGTCTGGTCCTTGTCCTCTCTGTCCGTTACTCTGTCTGGTCGTCGTCCTCTCTGTCCATTCCTCTGTTTGGTCCTTGTCCTCTCTGTCCATTTCTCTGTCTGGTCATCATCCTCTCTGTCCATTCCTCTGTCTGGTCCTTGTCCTCTCTGTCCGTTACTCTGTCTAGTCGTTGTCCTCTCTGTCCATTCCTGTCTGGTCATTGTTTCTCTCTGTCCGTACCTCTGTCTAGTCATCTTCCTTTCTGTCTGTTCCTCTGTCTGGTCATTGTCCTCTCTGTCTGTTCTTCTGTCTAGTCATCATCCTCTCTGTCTGTTCCTCTGTCTGTAACTCTGTCTTGTCGTTGTCCTCTCTGTCTGTTCCTCTGTCTAGTCATCGTCCTCTCTGTCTGGTCATTGTCCTCTCTGTCTGATCCTCTATCTGGTCATTGTTCTCTCTGTCTGTTCCTGTGTCTCGTCCTTGTCCTCTCTGTTGATTCCTCTGTCTGGTCCTTGTCCTCTCTGTCCGTTCCTCTGTCTGGCCGTCGTCCTCTCTGTCCATTCCTCTGTCTGGTCCTTGTCCCCTCTGTCCATTACTCTGTTTTGTCGTCGTCCTCTCTGTCTGTTCCTGTCTGGTCATTGTTTCTCTCTGTCTGTTCCTCTGCCTGGTCGTTGTCCTCTGTCTGTCCCTCTATCTGGTTGTTGTCCTCTCTGTCAGTTCCTTTGTCTGGTCCTTGTCCTCTCTGTCCGTTACTCTGTCTGGTCGTCGTCCTCTCTGTCCATTCCTCTGTTTCGTCCTTGTCCTCTCTGTCCATTTCTCTGTCTGGTCATCATCCTCTCTGTCCATTCCTCTGTCTGGTCCTTGTCCTCTCCGTCCGTTACTCTGTCTAGTCGTTGTCCTCTCTGTCCATTCCTGTCTGGTCATTGTTTCTCTCTGTCCGTACCTCTGTCTAGTCATCTTCCTTTCTGTCTGTTCCTCTGTCTGGTCATTGTCCTCTCTGTCTGTTCTTCTGTCTAGTCATCATCCTCTCTGTCTGTTCCTCTGTCTGTAACTCTGTCTTGTCGTTGTCCTCTCTGTCTGTTCCTCTGTCTAGTCATCGTCCTCTCTGTCTGGTCATTGTCCTCTCTGTCTGATCCTCTATCTGGTCATTGTTCTCTCTGTCTGTTCCTGTGTCTGGTCCTTGTCCTCTCTGTTGATTCCTCTGTCTGGTCCTTGTCCTCTCTGTCCGTTCCTCTGTCTGGCCGTCGTCCTCTCTGTCCATTCCTCTGTCTGGTCCTTGTCCCCTCTGTCCATTACTCTGTTTAGTCGTCGTCCTCTCTGTCTGTTCCTGTCTGGTCATTGTTTCTCTCTGTCTGTTCCTCTGCCTGGTCGTTGTCCTCTGTCTGTCCCTCTATCTGGTTGTTGTCCTCTCTGTCAGTTCCTTTGTCTGGTCCTTGTCCTCTCTGTCCGTTACTCTGTCTGGTCGTCGTCCTCTCTGTCCATTCCTCTGTCTGGTCCTTGTCCTCTCTGTCCATTTCTCTGTCTGGTCATCATCCTCTCTGTCCATTCCTCTGTCTGGTCCTTGTCCTCTCTGTCCGTTACTCTGTCTAGTCGTTGTCCTCTCTGTCCATTCCTGTCTGGTCATTGTTTCTCTCTGTCCGTACCTCTGTCTAGTCATCTTCCTTTCTGTCTGTTCCTCTGTCTGGTCATTGTCCTCTCTGTCTGTTCTTCTGTCTAGTCATCATCCTCTCTGTCTGTTCCTCTGTCTGTAACTCTGTCTGGTCGTTGTCCTCTCTGTCTGTTCCTCTGTCTAGTCATCGTCCTCTCTGTCTGGTCATTGTCCTCTCTGTCTGTTCCTCTCTCTGGTCATTGTTCTCTCTGTCTGTTCCTGTTTCTCGTCCTCGTCCTCTCTGTCGATTCCTCTGTCTGGTCCTTCTCCTCTCTGTCCGTTCCTCTGTCTGGTCGTCGTCCTCTCTGTCCATTCCTCTGTCTGGTCCTTGTCCTCTCTGTCCATTACTCTGTTTAGTCGTCGTCCTCTCTGTCT